TAATTTTTAGGAGTTTTTTTCGCTGCAAATCGGTTATAAATACACGTAGAGTCTTGAAACTTTACCAAACTGCGCTCGGAATCGTCTTTCGTCAAGCAATGGTTTATCGTTGCTTACAGATATAAATAAAATACTCTTATGTATCCCACCTTTCCAACTTCTCACCTACAACAGTGGCCGCTCCCGTCCCCAGTATCAGCTCTTTTTTTATATTCAGTCGCATTTTACATTTTGACTGTGATATACCTGATGATGATTTAATTCGAAACCGGTCGTATAAATACACTTATCATAATACTCAAGGCGACGCATCGATTCATTTATGTATTTTTTATTTTTTATTTATATATTTATATATTTATTTAAAATAAAAATATTTTTTTCATAAAATAACAGTTTACATATTACCTGATCCTTATATTTGGTGGAGCATTTGTTTTATCTATAACTAAGTACCATATATTACCTACACTGTTCAACAAAATATTTATGGTCAGCACTCAACAGGTTGATAGTGAATTATGTATGGAATTTCACTGTTGATACCGAGTCTATTCTTAGATGTATAAGATTCGCTCTTGTTTTTGAGATAATCACTAATTGTTATTGAAATTAAATTCTAATAAAAAAAAAAAACTGTATTTTTCTCATGCATGTATGTAAATTTGTTGTGTTATTGAAGAGTTATGCAAAATTGAGAACTGATAATATGTCAAGTTGAACCTGTTTTCCTAGCCTTCTAAAATTTAGGTTGATAGTTATTTATCAAAACACAAAACCAAACTTTTCACTGTAACTTTTTTTTAGTTTAGTTCACAATTACGAATTAGCAACCGTTAAAAAGCTAATTTTCTAAGAATTTTTAAAATATCATTAGTGTGTTACGTTATTAGGAACTGGCAATATCACTGTCAATAGAAAAGAAAAATTTTGAAAAATTAGTTAGTACTGTATTAATTTCCATTATAATTAATTTTTATTATGAAATGTGCTCAGTATACAAATGTTATCGTAAATGTCTTATCTCATGTCTAATGATAATCATAAATACTAACTACTATATTTAATACAAGATTACAAATTACAAGATTTAATATAAGATAAGATTACTAATAGTCTGAAAAGATTGTATGTATTTAATCTTAATTTCGGGAATTTTGAATACTAAAAACTGTCCGTTCGGCTTTGCCCGGGCAATAAAAAAGTTTCTAAATAAAGTTAATAGATAAGTTGTTATTATAATATGCTTATTACTGTAGATACCCGCACGGCAAAAGGATTACACTATAAAAATAACAATTTTTTTCCTCACCCGTGTTATCAAGGTATAAATCAACAAAAATAATTAGATATTACTAAAACTATCTAAAAACCGAATTTTAGAGAATGATTTTAAATAGGGGTGAATTTCAATAGCTATAAACTTTCTCCGGAAAACGTGGAACAACTCCCAAAGTTTTATGGCGATCGAATGAATGGTGTAGTATTACATATAATATTACAATGCAATTAGATAATATTTTAATTCAGCATTCTCAAATTAATCAATATTTATTAAAAACCTTGGCAACAAAATTGTTTTTTCTTTACCAGTGTTATTCAAGTGTTACATAGAATTATTATTTTCAAAAAATCCAATCTCTATCTTAAATAATACAATATCATTAATAGAGTGGTAAAGTAATAGAATAAAATTATAATCCACGAACAGACATTTAATTTTAAAATATATTTAAATAATATAAGTACTAAATGTACTTGTATGTTGATTTTTTGTTTCCTTTCAAGTACACATTCTGTTAACTAATTTTACAATACAAGAATATGTGCTATGATAATAATAACTGACATAAATTACTCGACAAAAGGAGTAATTCAACGGCTATACTTTACATTGATTTAAAATGCTATACTAAGTATTTTGATACGAAAATATTACTTTAAACTTGTCTAGTATTATGGCGTAGCAACTGCTACGCCTAGTAATAGGGTTGGGCACCGCTGGTCCGTTATAATATTGATACTGCACGCCTAATCGTCTTTAAATGTGTCTCTTTAGACGGCCAATAAAATATATACGGTCGTATACGCGATTACGCGTCACGCCGCCATTTTGTTGTCATACTTACCGACGACGGCTTTACGTTTGTACACGTGACCATCAAGCCTCCTCTCGTTCGTCTCTCGGCGAACGATTATCGCCACGAAATTGACGTTTTCGCCGTGGAGATGATGGGAAAATGCGAACTTCGACACGGCTCGAAGCGGAAAACCCGTACGGCACGGTACGCGCGCACGCGAAAACGCTCGCGACCGGCATGCTGCACTGCCGGTCCCGACGAGAAAACGCTAAAGTCACTGGCGCGGGCCGCGGAGCCGCTGACCGCGGCGCGGACGGGACCGATAGAAAACCGGACACCGTTGTCGGATGTGGTTTTTCCCCCATGAACATTGACCGTGACCTACGACCATGACCCGTACCCCGTCGGCATGTACCGTGCGACCCGTTCTCCGTCGTTCGCGGCGCTGATCTCGTTTCGCCATTATTACAATCGTACGTTTCACTGCATTTATTATTTTGTTTTTATCGCGGAACGTAATAATTCGTTTATCCGTAGCGGAGGGAATCCCGTGCGGACAACGAGCAAATAGATTACAACGAATTACGATTGACATTCGGTTCTCGTTATTAATAATTGTACATTAATATTATACGATATTAAGCCGATTACACGCTGAGCGATTCGAACGCGCGCCTCCTCGCGTTTCAAACGCCGCGATTTTAAAATGCGAACGCGCTTCGCTCGCACGTTGGGCGCGTTTCAAACATAATATATTTTGTTTTTCGCGATATACTTGTCTTGACGTCTTGTTTGTTACTGTGTATCGTGCGTGCGATCCACTGTTATTTCGTTTAATATGTTCAGATTAGGAAAGCTTAAACGGTGTAGAGGCCGTATGTGTTATGTCCGCGCAATACGAGTAACGCGAACACGAACAAAAATCAGTGGAAACGGCGACGTTGGGTCCGTCCGTCCGTCCGTCCGCCCATTCTAAAAAGACCGGAAAATGGTTCTTCATTCGACACCTCAAAAACAAACTGTCCGGCGTCAAACACCTTTATAATATAATAAATGGATACAATTTGTACGGTGAGTGTAAAACGTTGGAGGCACAATATTACGAATGAACGAAAATGAAACGCGGCGTTCGAATCGCCTGGTGTGCAATCCACTTTGACCGATTGCGTCCGGTTTGCCGAATTTGTCTCGAACGCCGCCGGCAATACGCAACAAACACCTACCCCCGCACGACGTTTGAAACGAAAACAAATGCGAATTGTTCCGACGAACACTTTTGAACGAAAACGGCAGATACGCGCACTAACGCACTCGACCAAAGGAAAACGCCGTCGACCGATCGCAAAGGTCCGATCGGAAAATGCATAATGTAGACGATACTCTTTGTCCGTTGTAAAACTACAAGGGCTGCGTACGCGTTTGGAACTGACGGGTTTTATAACTCACCCGGGTGGGGGGGGGTGACATATTATTCTGTTTCCTTTTATTACGCGCATAAACATAATACATATTATACTACTCTATATTGTCAGTATGAGTCGAAGAGTAATGAAAAATAAGATGACTGTTATATTATAACAACAGTAGTGTAACACTAATAATTTAGTTGACGTACCTATACACGTGTCTACATAAATATCATTACCCATAACGTTATGGGTACACTCCGTATACTTTCGTTCGCCTTCCAGTACACTACCGGTTGCATTTAATATCTGCCAACAATTTGAATGTACAAAATGTATGCACAATGTACACAATGTTATCTTTAACAATGCTACTGATTTATGTTCCAATATTCCACGTACCTATTCTTAGTTCTTACCTAATACTTATCTCTCGTAACCGGACGGTACTCTCGATTTGTTGTGCAAAGCCATGTCGGGTAGGGAAAAGCGAAGAGCGTTATAGGTGGAATAAGAGACCCAACGTGGTACTGCGCTCACTCGGACAATTTTAACCGAAAATAATGTCTATTTTGAACGTAATTTTGGATTAATTCCAAAAATGTTATGATAGGTAAGTTTCGATTATACCGATGGATTAAGCATTGAAAAAAAACACACATTATGGGGAAAAAACCGAAAAATCGCGTAGGATTAAAAATAGAATTATGCCAAAAATGAGCTAAAACTTAAGAAAAGTTTTAACAATCGAAATTTTGACCAAGGTTAATGCGTATATTCATATAGATAAGACCTAATTATTGAATATTTTATGAATTATAATAAACTAAAAGATCGCGACTACAAAATGTTCGTACTTATCTACTTCTTTAATAATATACGAAGACAAATTTGATTAGGTCGTACGTATCAGCAAAGTTAGTACCGAAAAGTATAGCAGTTTCAACGCCTGTACACTTGTTGACTTATGGGGTACACCTTTCTACAAATATAATATTATGAATGGGAACAACCGATCGGTATGCGCAGAATGCAAAGAGAAAAATATCCGATTACGCTGATGGGCGTGCCGTCGTTGTCGGCGGGAAGTTGGGACGGTAGGACGCATAAATCATTGTACGACGACCGGCGAATTACGGTTCTGAGAGAAGTCCGGTGAAACGCAGCGATATTTCATTGACTTTCTGCAAAGTACAAACACGCATATGAAATACGCGCCACCCGCTATACGGGTGGCGCGACGTTACCACCAGGGTTCCGTTTTTCTTTTCATTTCTACGCCAATATTAATAAAATAAAACGTAATACCGCGACGTCGCGTCGGTGGCAACGAACTTTGCCGCGGCGCGGTCCGGCCGTAATATCGTAGTGCGGTTGTCCGGCAGTTATAGTACGACTGTCCCCCGGATTGCCACTGGCACCGGCGGCACCAATGATGCAACGTTGCGCCGTTGCGAAACGTTTTCTCGGTAAGCGGTCGCGCGGGAATATTCCCGTGCGGACGGCCCACTGTGATACGACGGCGCGCCCGTACAGTAACTACGGCAATGTGTGATTACGATTACAATAATAATAATAATAATAATAATATAACGTTTTGATTATTATTTTGTTTCGAGTATCAACACGCCGCCGCCGCCGCCGCCGCCGTCGAACAGTCGAAATAATAGTGCGCAACGATAATCGGTGCGAATACTGCGGGATAACCGAGACGAATTTTATGATATAAACGCTCAATACCCGTAAAATATCGCCGATAAATTTTAAACGTAAATCGTGGCTGCCATCAATGTCAATAATTTATGTTATTTTTCTGTTAATGTCGCCTAGTTACACCTAAACCGCGGTTGAACACTTGTGTGTGCTTTTTTTTTTTTTTTTTTTTTTCTAAATTTGTTTTTGTTCTGACGACCATGTAATCTCCACTCCGCCGTGGTCCCCGGTATTTTATTTATTTCATAATATTATTCCATGTAAGTAATTCACTCGAAACAATATTAATAAGAACAATGAATTACCTACCCACTGGTATTCTGGCTTCTGGCAAAATGCTATTAATCGGAATTCGAATCGCGTTTTCCGTCGTCGCTCGTTCGCAGAATATCAAACTGCATAAGTATTATAATGATGGCTGAACAACAGAACCTCCCGCCGTACATTCATTACGATTATTCATTATTATCGTACCAAACCCACCTGAAGTCGTTTTAGTTGTTCGCTTATTACTATATTTACTTATTTTTTAAAAACTCTCAATCGATTAGTCCAATGAAATTATACTGACCAAAAATTTGCATCCTAATTATGATTATGATTATGTTCGAATTTGCAGGTAGAATGTCGTCGTCGCATGAACAAAAACCTTCAATTAACAGTGTTCTGGATTTGTTGGCACAACAGTTTATTGTGATCTCTGGTTAGTTTTCATCTACCGATCTCTGTGGGTTATTTTGGTGAATTATTATGAAACTAAATATTATTAAATTATTTGGAAATTGTTTAATACTCTGTTTTACTTGAACATTATTAATATAGTACAAGTCTGTCTACAACAACTAGCTGTAGTTTCAGTTCAACTTATTCGTTTTCCTTGAAATTAAAACAAAGAGTAAATTTGTATAACAAATACATATTATATTAAATATCATACTTATTGATAATGTAACTGAATTCACCTTTTTTTCTCTTAAGAGAGTTTTACACTTGCAATTAAATTACATGCTTTTCAAATGGAACGAACAGGTGAATGGTGATATGACAAAATCAAATTACACATAATTTTACAATGCCATTAGGTTAAACCAACAACAATAACAGTCTATAACAGTTATCATTTGAAATATAATTTGTTTATTCAGATTTGATTACATCCAAATAAAATTAAAGTAATTTTAATATGTACCCTCATAATAAAATTCTTCAAAGAGTGATTTTGTTTTATTTCCCATTAAATTGATGGGAAAGAATGATAACAAATATCTAAGAATAAATAATTATTTATGAATTATTTCTTTCCCATTAAGGCAATAATATTGCTCCTATTATAATTGCCCATATAATATTTCAAAATAGTTGATTATTATCAAGTATAAATAAATTATTATTATGTACATATTCATTGATTTTTACATTTACTTTTAGTATGTTCAGTGGTTTTAGTTAATTTTTTTTATAAAGTTATACTTTTATTACTTTTATTCGTGTTATTTTTACATTTATTTTTATTTTATTTTGAAAATTGTTTATAAAATACTTATAATTGATAATGCATAAGCAATATTACAACTGTTTTCTTTGTAGGTGGAAAAACTAAAGAGGGTTATTCCATCATTACATTTCCCGATACTGCAAATTTTGTTGACTTGACTGATGATGGTTATGAAAAATTAGTATCTTATATTACGTCTGTGCCTTCGTAAGTATTTATTACTATTCATTGTTATTATTTTATTTTTTTATAATTACAAACTTTTTTTTAGATTACAAGAAGCTGATTTAGGTTTTGTTATTATTATTGATAGACGCAATGACAAATGGAGTTCAGTGCGATGTGTTCTCTTACGACTAGCAGTAAGTAAAATCAAGATTGTTATTTCTGTGTTTACAATATAGGATTTTTAACATTATGTTGCCTACCTTTTGTCAGAAAGAAATGTTTCAAACTAGTTAATATCTAAGCGGAAAAAATTAATTTGATTTTAACTAGCTAATACTTTTTCAATGTGAAATTAAATTAAACTCAATATAATTGTAAGCTAATATAAATAATTTCTAGCCTGTGATAACCAAATTAAATAATAGCAACTTTTTTTTTTTTTTCATCATTGTATCTAACCAAGGAAATTTAGAAATCGAAAAAAAAATAACTTTTTTATTATAAGGTCAAAATCAAGATTGGATCTTAGCCTATACAGGTGTTAATTTCTTTGATAATAGCCTATGGATTCTATACATTTAAAAGAATTTCTTCATGTTAATTGAAAAAGTGATTCAAGAGCCAATTCATTATGAACATTATTTTTTTTACAGATTATATCTTATCAATTTATGATATTTTCATAGGTAATTGATAATTATTTAAGCACAGAATAATTTCTTATACAAATCCCCATAATACAATTTATGTTTTGTTTGATTTGTGTATGATTTGTATTGGATAACATATTTTTTGATAAAATATTGGCTTGTGTTTCACAAAAGTTTTTAATTAGTTTTAATAACATTTTTAACAGTTGGTTGTATACAGTGTTACATAGTGGTCTTTTTTTAAAATTTGATTTATGTCAATAAATATTTTATGTTTAGGATTATGAAGAATATTTAGTAATATAATTCAGTAATCATATTTTAAAATAAATTAAGAAAAAAATTATTAAGTAGATAAACACACTAAAACATCTTGTAAATCAGAAACAATGGGTCCAGTCCAGTCCTAATGTACTAATGTTATTTAAGATAAATATGAGCACATTCATTATCAATTTATTTTTATCAAGAGTTCTTATTTGTTCTTTATGCCTTTTATGTAGCTTTTGTACTAAATTGATAACTTTTTAAACAAAGTTACTTATAAAAAGGTATTTTCTACTTCAGTAAAATGTGATGAACCTTTTAAATTTAAGTTTAACAATATTAAAAAAAAAAAAAAAAAAAAAAAAAATGTTTTTATATTATTAATTAACATACCTAATTATTCTAAAAAATAATTATAAATATTACTTGTGCATCATTTTCAGATAAATTTACTCTTCATCAATTTTGATTTACTTAGTTTACATGATTCTGAAATAATAATGATAAACATACATTTAATTCAAAATATATCGTATTAATGATAAAATAGTATTTAAACAAAAATATGATTAAGTGTTCTAATTGATCTTTTAAATATGTATATTAAATCGCAACTAGTGTAAAACTGTATATTTTTAGCATCTGAGTAGGATGGTATCGTTTTAATTATCCCCACTAAACTCTCAATGTGCACATTTTATTTATATACTTACACTCATTCACAGTTTATAGAAATGTATTCTTAACTCTGATAAATAGTTTTGATTATTATTATTAGTTTATTTGTTGAGACTTAATGCAACTCTATTATAGTAAATATTTATTTAGTTCTATACAAATCACCAAAAAAATTATTGTTATTTGTGTAAAATAATATAATAAAACAATAATTACTCATTAGCTTTATTGCATTTTTAACAGGAATTTTTCCCTGGTCTCATACACATAGTGTATGTGTTAAGGCCTAATGGTTTTTTGCAAAAAGCTATATCCGAAGTGAGCAATAAGTTCTTTAAAGAAGAATTTAAATTCAAAGTTCTTGTATGTACTGTAGTCGAAGAACTGCATGATTATGTAGATGCTACTGAACTCACTATTGAACTTGGTGGTACTTTGCCATATTTTCATCAACACTGGATACAGCAAAGGATGGTAATGTTGTTTATGTAACAATAATAATAATTTACTATAATAGCACACAAACCCATATTATATGATAATAATTTTTAAAGATATAAAAATAGCTTTACATATTTTTAGGCTTTAGAAAATTATTCAAATGAAACAAATTCTGTTTCGTCTATGTTAAATGAGTTCACTGAACGTTTAGCAAATGATTCAGTGGATTTACCAAATACTAAAGAACAGTCAGCCGATTTATTATGTCGTCACGCAGTAGAGTATAATAAATTGAAAAAATGTTTTGCTGAAGCTGTTAAAAAAGGTGAAACACTGTTGTGTGATTTCAAACAAGACACAGATACTTACCATGGTACCATACCATCGACAGTCACCAATGTTACGGCATTGGAAAGGTAATTTTATTTTGTTATATTCTAGAAATGATTTTCTAATCAAAATGTTAGTTGTTTAATATTGATTTAAAACTTGGTTTTATATTTGATTTTAAAGTTATGTTATATTATGTATTTACTGTTTAGATAATTACATAATTGACAATTATTTACTCTACTTTTTTTTTTTTTTTTTTTTTTTAATAGAGAAGAGAATACATTATATAGGTAAATAGTTTACTATTAATTGAATACTTGTGTATATTGATTTAAACAATATAAAAAAAAAAACAAATCTGCAATAAATAGTAAAAATGGATTATAAGCTATTGTTATTATTTATTATAATCACCAAAAAAATTTCGTTATAACCCTGTATACAAAAAAGCTAAGTTTAAAAAAAAAAATCATTGTAGATTTGGTTTTTTTTTAATTGCTGCAAAATTGGCTTAAAGCTTATCCTTACATCAAATTTTCAATAGGGGTTGGGCAAACAGTCTTCTGAATTTGTAATACAAATACATAAAAATAAAAAATTATTACCAATTTAGGTTCTGGTTTTTTTTTTTTTTTTTTTTTAATTGAAAATTAATAAATGTTTTTGAATACCTATATTTTATTTATCTAATATATCTAATTAAATAATTAAATAATTTTTATTTTATATTTTTATGTATTTTGTTTTTTCTTATCGTGCAGTCGAGTATATTGGTCATATAAATTGGTTCAATAAATTTATATTTATTTTTAATAGATTATTAGTACAGATGGAAGAAACAGAAAAAGTGTTTGATGATTTTTGGGAACAATTTTCTGGACGACTTAAACAATGCCATTCATTGCGTGCATTTGAAGAAAGTTTTAATATTGTTCAAGTATGTTGAAATTATATTTTACATAGAAAACCCTCAATTCAGATACTTTTTAAAATTGGAAATATTTTGACAATAGACAGTCGTTTTAGATTATTTTTAAAACCAATAAAAAATAATTAATAAAGTATAATATTTTTTTGAAAAATATTAGCTTTGCTATCATAAACTTAATCAAATATATAAAAACCAGTGTTTGGTTAAGTTTATTTATTTACATTATATGCAATACAAAATGGTAACATTTTGTTTTTAATTTTAAATATTTAATTAATTTCATAAAAAATGCAAAAACTAAAGTTTTTTCTATTTAATATTAGGAAAGAGCCATGAACATAAATTACTAGTAATTAATTTGGACTAAAGGAAAATAAATAGAAATCATAGTGATTTCAAATTATAAAAAAATGTACAATTGTACAATTTGTACAAACAGAAGTATTTTAATGATACCGTTGTTATTTCAGACTGAAAAACATAAAATTATTTTATAATCTATATTAATATGTAAAGTTTTGCAATTAATATTGATTTTTCTTTTTTGTGTTTTTATCATTTGATCCATATTTAATTAAAATATCAAATCAAGTCCAATAATTTCTGTTTTTATTAATATTTGTTGTTAAGAATTTATTGTCAATTTTGTCAAATATTTTAAATCTAGTTAAATGATATTTAAATAATGTAGTATTGTATTAAATCAAATTCTAATTATTATAAATCTTTTTTATGATGTTTAGTGTTCATTAAATGAACACTTACAAATTATTTCTGAAATGACCGATGTTGGAGATTCCGTTGAACGGGTAAAAACATTACTTGATGAATTAGCTGCATTTCAAAAATCTTGTGAAGTACGTATTTGTTATTATTTTATTCATTTATTTACTTAATGTTGTCCTGTAGGCATTTAAGAATGTACTTGGTAAAGTTAAAAAGTAATATACAGATGAGGTTATTCATTATAGATGTAACAAAAAATATCTAAAATTAACAAAGCAAGTAAGATAAGGAAAGACTAGAGTAGAATTATATTAATATTTTTTAGTTCTTTTTGCTTAGAATTAATAAATTGGTTTTACATTCAACTAACTATCTTTCATTTTAATCCTTTTCTTAGATCTGATAATTTATACAAGTGATCAATATATCATTAGACACTCATTATCTTAGAAAGTATTAACTTTTTTCAGAATTTGTTTTAAAGAACATTTAAGAAACAAGCTGCTCCATAATTTTACATTTATGTTATTTAAAAAAACATTACTTTTGATTTTAAAATAGCAATCTATTTTTAAAATTCTATAAATAATTTAAGTATAAGTTAAAATAAATTTTTTGGTGTTGAAGTTTTTGGTTTCCATCAATCTGTTGACTAGACATTCAACTTTTAATTTTAAGTTTGGATTGGAGGAAAGTAGTGATGGTTTATTAAACTGTTGCACGCCTTATCGCCACTCAAATGATGCTCTATGATTTTCCTTTGAACCTAAACTTAAAAATGGAATATTTCGTCAACAGACTGACAGAAATTAAAAATAACAGCACCAAAATGTATTTTAACCAATACTCCAACTATTTATAGAATTTTTATATAAGTTTCCATTTAAAAATCAAAAGCAGATAGAGGTTTTAACTCAAAAAATAACATAAACATAAAATTGTAGAACTGCTTTTTTCTTAAATTTTTTATAAAACAAATTCTGAAAAAGTTAATACTTTCCGAGATAATGAGTATCTTACAAAAGATTGATCACTCTGTAGAAGTGATTAAAAAAGTCAAAGAATTCTCTCTGAAATATATAATTAAATTTATTGTTCCTAATTTTTTATTAACAATTTAGGAAAAAATCAAACTCAGTGAAGATTTATTATATTCTGGTGGTCAATTATTAACTTCCAAACGTTTTATTGTATTGGAAAGTATTCAACCAAAATGTGATGAAGTTCAGCGTCTTACCCAAACATTAAATGATCGTTTGGAAAAACGTTTACAGACTTTAAATAAAAGTTGTGAACTGCAAGCTAGAATCCAAAAGGTATTTATAAATATTTGTGTGTTAAACAGAAAACAGTTAAAATAAATGTTTGTTTCATGAAAATTTTGAGGTTATTAATTCTAGTCATTTCTAATTGAAAGACTTGTGTGATATTCAGGTAATCTTTAAAGAGAGTGTGATACTCATATTATGTGTGTTTCAAATGTATGACCAGCAATTGTACGTTAAGCAGGGACAAAATTAAGCCGTTAGTTTTAATATTTGAATGAATTAATGAATCGACCAAATGAAATTTAAAGATAAGGAAATTGTTTGCATAAAATTGACACTATTTTTTTTGTTATTTTAATTTTTAAGAGATGTGGCATGTGAAATACACAATTAAATATTACTTACATCTCATATAAAAAAAAAAAAAATATTTTAAAAAAGTGCCATTAGTGTTCAGATAATGTTTTTTTTTTAAGTTTGATAATAGATCAATTCAATCAAATATTAAAACTAACTTATGGTTATCCTTGTTGAACACACGTTTGCTATATTGTGCATTTATAAGATGGAAACAGCCCATGAAGGTATTGCATCCTCTTAAGATAAAACTCTATTATAGGTGATATTGATACATAAATAATATAATTAATTACAACATAACTAAAAAAAGATGCTGTTCAGAATAATGAAGTAATGCTATTTAAACATTTAAAACTTTTTACACCTTTAGAAATATTTTAAAACATTTTATCGAAGTGTCTTAAGGTATTTGTAGAATAAAGAATAATAGTATATAGGGATTTCAATAATGTGTCATGCTCTATTCTATTCTAAAATACTCGGTTGAAAATTAATATAAATTTACACCAATTTTAATTTTAAGTTAATAATTCACCAAATTTTAAAAAAAATCGAAAATATTTTAATTTGTAATAGAAATATTACTAGTACTGTACTAATATACATTGTACTAGTATTAATTTATTATTTAACTATTATTATACCTGTATCAGGTATATTAATACAGATAGGTACTTATACAGATATTTTTATTTTACTATTGTGAATTCTTTTATTAAATTTTAATTTTGAAAGGTTTATCATACTCTAATATTTTGTATCTACAGGCCAGTGAATGGTGTGCTAAAGGTGTTATGCTTTTGGGTTCAGAGCCAGCTGACAAATGCATTAGTGCTGAACAATCACTCACCGAACTAGAAGAGTTTATGAGTAGTGCTCATCACTTAAAAGTAGAAAGTCCCAGAGAATTTTACTCATTATTTGAAGATACTATAACTCCTGAAACTAAACCAATTGTTACACAAGTACTTCAACGACTTGATGATGTAACTACCATGTGTGATAAACGTTTGGCCAGTCTTAAACGTTTGATAAATAAACCACGGCCAATTTTATCTGTTAATCCTGAACCTGCCATCCCTATTCATTTAGCAAATAATATAACCAAGGTATTTAATTATTGTTGATATACATATTTCAGTGTATTACTTTTATTAAATATAATATTAATACATTTTTATTATTTCAGATTTCAAATGGTGTAGATGAATGTGATTTAGCTATACAAAACGATGAAAATATAGTTACTAAAACAAAACATGTTCTCACTGAACTTTTGTATACTGAACGGCAATATACTGCAGAGTTGGGTTCTATTCTTAGAGTAGGTTAAATTTTTGAAGTATTGTTTCTTTTATGATTTTGTAAATGAAATTATGGATTTTTAGGGTTACAAAGATCAAATGGAATTTTCAGATATGAAAAACTTAATACCTTCAGGACTAAAGGGTAAAAATGAAGTTCTATTTGGAAACCTTGAAAGCATCCATAGTTTCCACAATCAGTTTTTTTTACCTGCTCTTGAAAGTTCATCGAGTATTGAATCTGTTGCTGTTTGCTTTACAGAAAATGTAATATAATAATTATTTTTTTGTTAATTTTGAATTTTATTTTCAACTACATAATTTTAACTGGTTTTAGAGGGAAAAACTTCTACAACTTTACACGTATTATTGTGTGAATCTAACAAGGTCAGAAGAATTAAGAGAAGCAGTTGGTGAAGATAATCTTTTTTTTAAAGCATGCCAAGAAAAAATTGGACATCGTTTGCCTCTAGGTGCATATTTACTTTTACCTATGCAAAGAATTACTAAATATCAACTTCTATTAAAAGTAAATATCATTTAAAACAATATTTATGTATAATTTATTAATCTCTATTGAAATTTACCTGAATTGTGTTTTATTATTTTATAGGAACTTTTGCATAATGAAAAAAATCAAAATTGTGTTACTAAATTGCAAAAAGCTCTTGATTGTATGTTGTTAGTTCTCAATAATGTAAACGATAACATGCATCAAATAGGGATTACCGGGTTTCATGTAATTTATTATATACCTTTAAAATAAACCCGAGATTCATTAAAAATATGTAATTTTTGTACAATTTAGGGTGATTGGAATGATTTAGGTGGATTACTTTTACAAGGATCTTTTTCTGTATGGGTCGAAAATAAAAAAGATCTGTTAAAAGAATTACGTCTTAAACCAATGAGACGTCAAATTTTTCTATACCAACAGGGATTACTACTGTGTAAAAAAGTATCTAAAGATAATAAACCAATGTACCATTATAAAAAGTATTTAAGGGTGATTATTTTTTTCTTATCAAAGTATATTATAGTATATCAGAAATAAAAAATTTAATGTTCATTTATTTATTTTTTTTAATAGATGTGTAATATCGGGTTAACAGAAACTGTTAAAGGAGATTTATGTAAATTTGAAGTATGGTTAGAAGGACGTCAGGAAGTTTATACGATCCAGGCATCAAATTTGCAGCAAAAGCAACAATGGGTGTCTGAAATTAAACGTGTATTACTTGAACAATTAGCTGAATTAAAAGGAGAAAAAATCAAACAATATATAAGTACTTTTGGAAAGCATGTGTAAGATATTCTCTATTCATGATCCATTATTATTTATTAATGATTTTAATATGGTTTCAAATTCTATTCTAATAATACAAATTAATATAGAAACTTGCGTCAAACAAATTCAATAGACGGTCAAAATGAAACGGGTTCGAATCGAAACAGGCGCCCTCTTAGTCATCACGAAACTACTGATGATGATTCGTCTGACTATAGTTTAACAGATGACGAATCTCTTGATGGGACAATTAAACATAAAGTTTGTACTCGATTAAAATTGTTATAATTTAATAATTATTTTAATTTGTTTATTTTCCAGGCGGATAGTTATATATCATTGGCGGATTACAATGCACTTAGGCCTACAGATGCCACATTAAAAAGAGGTGATAAAGTAGATCTTTTGAAAGCTGGTTCAAGTAGTTGGTGGTATGTCAAAGTTCACGGTAAGTGTTTTTCTTCTTATCAAGTGAATATACTATTAATTCAATTAATATTTAACTAAATTGTAACTTTAATATGATACTTGATAGTGAACCAGATGATTTTGTTAATTAAAAATAATATAATGTTTTTTGAAAATAGGTTTACTTGATATTATTATATCAAACTATTAAAATAAATATCATGCACACATTTTAATTAAACATACTAGGAACAATAAAAATATATTTCTTCAAAGTAAATTTAAAAAAAAACCAAATATTATACTACTTAATATTCATACATTTCTTGATTTTATGATGTTGAGGATTTCAATTAATATGTTTTAGATTTGAAACGATAGCTATAAGTTAAGTATGTTTTTTTTTTTATATAATAATTGTAAACAAATTTTTATTTTAAATTATTGCTTATATATTTCAGTATTATGGACAATATATATTTCATAATTTAGCTTTTATTGAGGATTTATTATAAAGAGAACACTTGTTGAATAACTGTCACATTTTATTTAAAATATATATAAATTATGATTTTATATTTTTTAATATTTACTTAATAGATTGTTATAGTAAATGTGTGCCCTTAAGATTTTGGACATTAGTTTGACTAATTGGGTTTACTAAGTCTTACATTTGATAAACCTTTATTTGATTCCAACCTTTGGCCCATAAATAAAGATTTTAACTTGCCTTTAATAAAATTGTTTTTAAAAGTAAAATTTGTTTTTTTTTTTTTTAAATTTAGGTTCTAAAACAGAAGGTTGGGTCCCAGCTGCACATTTAGAGATCAGTGGTCGTAAATCATCGCACAGTTCCCAATCTGTTTGCAGCCATGGATCTGCTTCTACAGAATGAAATCCTCAATTTTTTTTTTATCAAATAAATATATATATTTTACACAATTGTGATATTAAGGTATTTAATTTGTTTATTATTTATTTATTAGTCTACACAAGGCATATTTTTTTAAAGTTAAAATCCTATTATTACACATTTTAAATTATAATATTGTATAAGTAAGCATGTCATTTATGTGGAATATAATTGTTATCGCGAGCTTCCTTAGAATTAGAGAACAGGAAACAGTAAAGCATCAATATACATATATTTATTTACTTATTAGTTGGTCCAAAAAAAAAAAAATGGTTTTATGTTATTTTTCCATAAATCAATTTCAGTTAATAATAATGTTTGTAATACCAAAATTGATAGATAACTGTGACACTACTAAATGTTTATAAAATTGTAATATTTTTAAACATTACTATGTACTTATGTTAATAATTCAATCCTTATTAAAATTATATACCTTTAGTTCATGGGCATTATTCTCCTATTTTAGTTCCTCTAATTCCTCGCGAGGTTTATTGTAAAATATTTAAATGTGTTGTAGTTTAAGTTTTGCTGTATATCTAAATTTGTATATAATTTAATTTGACATGTGATAGGTATTCTTAATAATGTGATTTTTTTAGCTACTTAAAAATAATTTAAAATTACTCTTTGCCAAATTTTCACACTGTTCTATGTTTAATGTGATAATTAAAATCTTAATCACATTATTTATAAAAATAATTGAATTGTTTATCAACAAAATGTATATAAATGCTATTTGATATATTTTATATTTTATTAAATAAATTTATATGAAAATAAAACAAAGTTCACTAAATTTAAATTTGTTAAATAGGTAATATTACAATTAAAAAATTATGAATTTAATAAATTATAGTTTGCACTTGTAAATTACCACACTAATCCAGTTTTAAAAATGACTTATTTTTGCCATTTTAATTTAATAATTATTATATATTATTTATTTATTTTAACTTCTAGTCATTTATATTCAAAATGGTTTTTTCTAAGCACCTATCATATTTTTAACCATTAGTCATACACGATAAAAATATGATTGAAATTTCATTTCACGGTTCCTAGATCACTTAACATTTATATTTTGACATTTTGATGATAACTCAATTAAAAAATCAATTTTTAATAATAATGTTGTTCAAGTGTGTCTCTGTAAAAAATTTACTGGTTAATTATACCTAATCTTAGTTAATTTGTTTTGACTGGCTGGCCATTATGGTTCTATGTTTTTTGTTTAACTTATTTTTAGTATTTAAAAGTCACCCATTTAAGTATACTATTATACATTTATTTATTTATCTTGCATAATTGATCACCTTGAATTATTTGTTATCGCTACTATTACCTCATCATTATTATTATTATTATTATTATTATTATTAGTTAAATGTTAAATTCAACTTAAAAAAAAATGTGATTTTTTTATAATGTGAAAAAATTTCTAAATAAAAATAGACAATTGTTTTTAGTATTTATTCACTGTTGTATTTATCACTAAACTGTATAAATAAATCAATTTAATGATATACAAAATGTGTGAGCAACATTTAAATAACAAAAAATATTTTATTTAATTGTTTTAGCTGAAATTGTAAGTTCCTATTTTTGTAATACTTGTAATGGTCAAAAATTGTTTCATAGCAAAAAATGTCAGTTATAACATGAAAAATATCATATTTTAAACAGACATACAAGTAAAACTGTATAGTCTATATGAGTAAATATTTATTTTGAAACTGATAAGATAAATTATTTTGTGAAGTGTACACTTCACAAAACATTTATAATGTAGGGTGCATACAATTTAATGTGTTCCATACGAAAAATCGTGGTAGAACAATAATATCAATGTATTGTACAGTAAGTAAAGTAGTTGATTTGAAAATTAGTTTACGGCCCATAAAGTACATAATCTGACACTAGCGGTTCTCTCCCTTCGAATCTCATAAAATTTCATAAATTACTTGTAACACCCGATCGTATTTCTTATTCTAAACGCCATGCATAATTTTAAAATTAAAATAATATCAAATTTAATATTAAAAAAACTATTTCATTGAAATAATTTAACATTGCTTTCGATTCGATTACTATTAAAGTTCACTGGAGATGCACGAGTACAATATTACAGTAGTATAATGTATAATTATATTAGGTAGGTATCTGCCTAAAGGTAAATATCAATAGGATAATAACTAATAATACTAAACCAAACGTCAATGAAATGTTTTAAAGAAATAGGTAATATGCACATTATAATAATATTATTTTAAGTGTTTTTTTTTTTTTTTCTAATAATTATTTATTCATTTATTGTAAACTACCGGTCTAACCATAACCTACGTCCTACATACCTATTATTATAACATGGAAGGATGTGTCAACATAATATTATTATATTATTAACCTTGAATATGAATGAGCGCGCGCCTATTTCATAATAACATTATTTATCTTTGAATTACAATATGGGTATGTGAAAGTAGCTGTTTAAGTCGTCAATTCAGCTTAATCCTCAATAAAAACTCGTACCTCGTTTTCTATAATAGATACCACATTGGCGGTTATTGTTCACAAGATGGGATGGAAAAATTAATTTTAATTTTAAATGATAAATAATTATCTATTAAATAAAAACTTAATGTCCAATTCGTAGGTATTAAACAGTGAGGTGCACACGTAGGTAGTAAATACTATCCCTAAATAATACTAAAAATACAATCTTAACAAAAAAACATTTTTTTTATCGAGAAACAAATCGAGTATCAATATTTTTGTTCGTATTTAATCTATCGCTCTACAGAATAGGAAATAAGGCAGGTACTTACTTCAAAACTCACAGTTTACACGGCCAAACAAACTCGATGAACTATACTACAAAAACCATATGCAGGCATAGATCGGGGGGCTTAGGGTTAAATTGCATTAAGTTCCGTTAACTATTGTTTAATTTTTTTTTTTTTTATTATTATTATTATGTTTAAAAATTGTATCACGTCCGAACCATGCGGAGTAACTGCCACCTATTAACTGCTAAAATTCAATCCTAATTGGACATGCTTATGGAAAACGGAGAAAGAAGTAGCGACGAGAGAAACGTCAGAAGGACCTCGCGTTTTCAAGAAACAAACCAATCGTCCACATCGAGGGCCAGCGGCGTACGCCCGGGTGGAGAGTGGCGGCTAAAGCGCCGAAACCCTCCCATTGACCGCCGCACTTACATAGGTATATGTGTACAAATTTATTTTTCGTGTTTTTCGCGTTTCGGCTGCGAAAACGATTAACAGATAATTAATAAGGGCGTGTTTTTTTTTTTTTTTTTTTTGTCATCTCCTCACAAAATGCACCGCATATTTTCGTAAGTAAACGATTCAATTTACCACCGTTGTCTGTTAATAATGATAATGGTAACCCTACGCCGCTGTATATTACCGCGGGATCCGGGACATCGCCGGGTCGGCGAGACGGTGACGCCGCGGCGTCATCCGCGAATTACGGACACACCCTGACGAGACTTGTCAAAACCCTCGGGGGGTTTTCCTTGTCGCCCTGACGTTCAACCGCAACATCGGCGGTCGGCGTTACTACCGGGCGCACGCGACGGCCGCCGCGCAGCCTTAATGTACGCGATTTCTACGGTCGCGACGTCGCACGTGCTTGAACCGACGTCAGTGCGTATCCGAACAACGGACGCGTCGCCCGCGGAACTCGTAGAACGCCCGGAAGTGTACCCGCCGTCCGTCAATCGGCGAAAAACGCAGTATGTTACGCGCATAGATGATCCCGTTTTGCGCATGTTTCTCTCGGCTGTCGTGGCGATAATAACGTATCGCACGCTTGGGCTTTTCGTCGTTGTTCCCGTGTGAAACGCGTCTCGTGGGTTCCCGGACAACGCTCGAAACGACCGTAACCCATCGATACCATTTACGCGACACGTGATATTGTTGTTCATTATGGCGGGAAAAAAATCGAATTCGTTTCGGATTCTCTGTTTGAAGACAATAAAAACGGCAAGTGATAAAATTCACAATTCATTAAATTGCAATTTTGGCCGATCTCCGGCTATTTTTTTTCAATACCCTAATGTCTAGCGTAAACATTGCGTTTTACTGTCCGACATCTTTATAGTTTCCACTACGTATAAATGTTGTTAATTTAAATTGCTCTCGTGATGCATAAATAAAATAAAATACATATATATGTAACGCATAACTGTATATATTGTATAAACTAATACATTTCAAAATGCTATTTAAGTTTTAGTAATTTTAATCGCCGAATGTATATATAATTGAACTATACAAACCAGAGTTTGTAAATATTATTTCATTTATAGTTCTTAAACATATTTAAAGGCGTCCCGGTAAAAATATCGACCTCTATAAATAAGAACCACCCTACACAAGTCCTATATTGATCTACTCTATTTTTCAAACTCGAGACAGACCAACCGATTAATTATACATTTTCAATGCCCCCCCCCTCCCATTGAAAAATCCTGCTCACACCACTAGCATGAACAGTTTGAAAATATTGAATTGAAAAAAAAAATAGTAGTCTAATACAAACGTAGAACATAATATTATTTGTGAACAAAATACAAATTACAATAATATGAATGTTTTTATCAATAGAATAATTATAAAAAGATATAAAGTTGGTACCTATATAATAATTTTCAACAAATAAAATTCACAGTTTCTCATCAATTATAGAACTTTAGATGACAAATGTATATAAATGTAATGAAAAGAGTAATCAAATAAAAAAAATATGAACACATTATGTTCATGATTTGAATTTGAATATTTAAAAATAATAATTTTGAAGACGAAGATTGAATGACACTGCTTTCTTTTTACGTTTTGTTGTAATAGATTTGCTTTCGATGAATTTCTGAACATTTACAACAAATAATAATGTGTACGTTGCATTATGATAACGTCATTCGTGCGGTAGGCAATAAGTGTAGTTTCACAGACGCAAAATGGTAAATATTTATTTGTTTATTGATAAACTGTTTGGTGCCATCGCCTATTGTTGGGTACCTATATCTATAATACAGTTTTAAATTCTTTATGGAGCATAGTGCAAATTCACAAGAACAGCCTCCCGAGTTGCATATTTTGCTGTAGCTAGTATAGAACCCACTACCAGCAGGGGATTTTCGCGAGAATAATTTTCGCGGTTTTATTTTACTATATTATTTACTTATTACCACCATACGTTCTAAGAACGTACTAAGAATATAACGTATATTATGGATACGTTTAACATCGAACGTTTATAATATTCATTCTTAATGAACATATAATTATGATGACAGATTATTATAATATATAGAAACATGTATGTAGACCATTTGATAGCATGGTCACTCATTGCCCAAACTGCAATGCCAAATAATTTTACTGGGTTGCTAATTTTGTAATTGATTATTAAATTATTCCATATTCTAAGCTTGTTTCAAAATATTTTTTTTAATGTTTGATTGAGATGATTATTCGATGTTGGATTTTGGATTAACAAAATTGTTATTATTTTGTCTATAAAATATGTTAGAAAATTGACGTATAAAATAAATAAATAAACATATAAAAGGTCTGACCAATAAGTAATGAGACTGTTTTTTTTGCCACGCTTGTGGTAACACTGCGAATCTGAAACTTCGTTCGGTTGATCTCTCATCCCTCCTCTATCGATACATGTGCTCGCGATTTTCGTACAATAATTAGTTTTCCAGTTGTGTTATGTTTTCGACAACGTGTTTGTAAGGCGTGTCACAAATATGGAACAACGTAATATAAATTTTGCGTTAAACTCGGCGATTCCGTTATGGAAACGTACGATAAATTGGTGAAAGTGTTCGGTGATGAAGCCCCGAGTCGTGCTCAGGTGTTTGGATGGCATACAATTTTTAAAAATGGTCGTGAAAGCGTCGGGGATGAACCGCGAAGTGGGAGACCTGTTGAAGCTCGAACTGAACAATGTTCAGCGTGTACGCACTCTCGTGCATCAAGATCGGCGTTTAACCGTTCGAATGTTGGCTGATGAACTTAATTTGAAACGAGAAACCGTCAGAAAAATTTTAACTGATGATTTGTCCATGAAAAAGCTGTGTGCAAAGNCGTGCCTTCAGTGTGTCGCGATTTTTGACCTCTAAGAACATCGCAGTGTTGCCACAAGCGCCCTATTCGCCGGATATGTCACCCTGCGACTTCTTTTTGTTCCCTCAAACAAAATTGGCCGTGAAAGGAACGCATTTTGAGTCCATAACTGACATCCAGAACGCCGTGACGAGGGTACTTCAGGACATTCCAGTCGAAGCCTTCCAGAAATGTTATGAGAGCTGGAAAAAACGTTGGAACAAGTGTATAGAGGTGGGAGGGGAGTACTTTGAAGGGGATCACATCGATGTATCTTAATATTTAAATATACGTATTTTATTGAATTAAGTCTCATTACTTATTGGTTAGACCTCGTATATATATATAAAATAAATGTATAGGCATTGTTTTAAATAGTATGTTTACTTATTATTTTTTTTTTTTTATATGCAATGTATGTTTTAATATTTTTTATTGTTCAATATATAACCAAAAACAATACTATACATAATATGGAGTATTTTTTTTTTTTGGACATGTGCTTTTTGAAGGATCATTTTATAATTACCTATTATAGTAGGTAGGTCTATTTAAAACATTAATTAATGTCCACGTGTAGATGTTATAAAATAGTCGAATTTGGTCTACTACATGATATATGATAGAATATGATAGAATTGGATTTTCAAATAGACTAAAAAAGTGGCGCATACAGGCTAACCTTAGACTTGTCACGGACATCTATATTTGCATCAGATGTACGTCTTACGTCTATGATGGATTGGTATATTAGACGTCGAATATACATTGCAGTGTTTACTGGGATGGTGATAGAGCGATTGGTATTATCGGAGTTTCGTAAATACTACGGGTTTTTGACACGAATATGATCGTTTGTGATAAGTACCTATGTTCAGGTGCGTGTACGAAGGCAGTAGTGGACAGGGGTTCAAATCGTCCCCCCCCCCCGAAATTCCATAAAAATTGATTTTTAATAGCGTCTCAAAAGTGAGTTCTGTCAATGAGGAGGGTATAAATACAATTTTAGTTTTAATTTATTACCAGATAGTAGGTAGGTACCTATGTATATTATTATTATTGTCATTTCTAATTTTTTTGTGGTTTTCCTGCTTCTAGAAAATTATTACTGATACGGTATTATTGCATAGTCGTTTGCATTATCCGCATCACAATATTATGAATTACGCGTTATCATTTAGGCTGTATTCGATAAAAAAATATTAAATGTAAATCTAATATCAGCTGATAAAGTTGTATTAATTTAGGCACGCTAATCATTGAAATAAAATCACTCTGTTACGGACTTGCACCGGCGATTTTCCTGTAGTGAAACAGTCAGCGAGTGGCGATTTTATTCGCCGGCTAGCAGCGTTGTCGGGATCATTTCGGTTACGATCACATCTTGCCAATTTTGGCCACAGTTCTTCTACGGCATGGTAGTGGACATACTGGCATACTGTGTCGCAAGGACCGGGACCGGACTATCCGGGAGGCTGAGGCGAGGTTCAACCAGCCACCAGAAGATTGATTACATCACAACGGCTCAGTCATCTCGACACTTTCCGCCACGACGGTCCACCCTAATGGGGACTTCGCCGTAGGCTCGTTAGGCTTGAGTTAGCATTTGTAGGGGGATGATGCGAGTTAATTCGCACAATCCACACACCGATATAAATTAGTTTTCTCAAGTTCAATGCGAGCGTGCCCCGCGTAGGGGAAAACAGGACTTTGACATGTTACGTAACTATAGTTATTAACAAACGATAGCAGCAGTGGGGAAGTATTGTGAAAACAGATGCCATACTGTTTTCGGTGTAAAATAGATGGGAGGGAAGCGGTCCTTTTGGTATGTAGCAGCGTGTAAATTCGCCCCATAGGAAATCGACACCGCAAAAATGCAAATTATCTATTGTAACAATTAAAAAGGACAAAGAAATTATCCGTTTAAAATATTGAACGATTTGTCCACACTGCTATGGCGGTTTTTGGCCTTTTCGCGCACAGGCGACACAAAACCGCCAAGAAGATGAACGTCACGATTGCCGTGCTCTCGGCAAGCATCGGCATGTCCGATGCCATTTTAAGTAAGTATATTGTCGTTGGATTAGTGTAATAGTAATATATCGTGTGACTCGTTGTGAACTACAGCGTAAAAAAAAAAAAAAAATTCGAAAGCGTATACGAACGCTGTCAATGAGCGGTGAATTCTCGTGAACAAATTTCTTACATCGTAAAAATGCGCCGCGAGAACGTTAACTCGGTTGCTGGACCCTCGTTGATTTTTGCGGTGACCGTATTCATGAAACAACAGTTATTTGTGCATTTAACTGACCAACGGTGTTTCCGATAGAATTATTGCGGGCCGGCAATAATTTCCGTGTTATTTTAGTGCGGACTGTCGCCACCGCGGCGACCGGTAATGATTTATGATCATTTGACGAACGTCCAATATTCCCCGGGCCGTAACTCAAAACCCGGGCACTTTTTATGTTTGGTCTTAGGTACCTATCAGTTTTTATTCTTACGGTATTTTAATTTAATTTCTATTTTATACTATAATATATGCTCGTATGTTTATAAACAAATGGTGCTGATGCTGGGGACGGGTGCGGTGACGGTTCTGCAGTATGTGGGGGTAGTTGAGAACTGAGGAGGATAGGATACACGAAGTTATTTAATTTATACCTGTAACCGACGATAAACCGTTAATAACGAAAAACGATTTGGAGCGAAGTTCGGTTATACATGTTTCAAAAGACCGCGGCCGTAATATTCGTCAACATTTGATTTTAAAACTCTTGTATAAAAAAAGAAATAATGTACATAACACTCAAATTTTTTTTTCGACCACTAAGTGAGACTCATAATGTACCCCCTGTTAAATTTTCAAACATTTCTGTTTAGTCTAATAATTTTATCCACAGAGCAGGTACTTACCAAAGAAAAATTACGTAAAAAAAACCAAAAAAATTAAAATATTTTTTATAGAAAACATAAGCCGTACAAATTTAAAATAATGAAATCATTGCGCCTTAATAATTTCAAAAAAAAAAAAAAAAAATGTATTTTTCGTCTATTTTGTTTTTCCCGGTTATTATCAAAAATACTTTAAATATTAAAAAACGACTTCCTATGTCAGTGGCTGTATAATAGAAAAGAACAAAATCGATTTCTCGTCGTTTTTCGATTGGAGCAATATTTCTGGTAGAAAACGTCGTGTAAACAAATTAAATACCACGAAGACGGTAACGTCGTGGCGCGCCGTAATTATCTGTCGTTTTACCTATAGTTATCTTTCGGGCTTTTCACAACTATTTCGGAAACCCCTTCCAAAATCAAAAAATCATCTGTTTAATGCGTACGATAAAATTATCTTTCAGAAAGGTGTTACACTTAATATATAGAAAAAAAAAAAAAAAACCATACATCGTAATAAACGCAATAGATCCCTGGCTACGTTCCGAATCTAAAAATGTTTACCCATTCGCAACGAAACTAAACGAAACATATTTTTGGGCCTAAGATTTCAAATCCGAACTATCGGATGGTATGTCTTTCACCGGTATACCTGTAATATAAAACGCCAAATTGGTGTAGAAATGTAAATACCCTGCAACTATAGATCGGATGCTCCGTGAATCCTGAATACACATGTCTTTTATATTATACGCATACGCTCAATAATGGATATTGTCTCGGCTGTGTCGTGCCTTAAATCGAATTCCAGGACCCGCAGCGTATTATGTTTTTAATTTATGATGGTTTTCTTTGCGATCTAATAGCCACGGGGGCTATTGTAGTAACTGCAAACAATAGCAACAATCAACCGGCTCCAACACGGTCGCGCCGATTCATTGCCGCCGCTCGTGCCCCGGTGTACCCCCCTCGTATACACACATGTACCCATCATACCCGTTTTACGTGCACGTATGTAAAATTCTAATGCTACAGTTAATTAGAAAAATATAGCTAAAAACTGCTGATGGGTGTGCCGGCTGTTGTAGGTGTGAAGTCAGGAAGGTATGGGGCGCATGGGGTTATTTAATGCATACCTATGAACATCGAAAAACCGTATTGTTAACGAAACACGATTTCGAGCGGAGTTCGGTTACACGTAATTTTTACGATTTCCGTAGAAATTTGATCTTAATTCTCGTGTACACAAATAATAAAACTTCAACGTTACGCTTAACTTTTTTTCACCATCAAGTACAAATTATAATAGACCTCGTGTTTAATTTTCAAGCATTTCTGTTTGTTCAAACAATTTTGGCCACATTAATTCAAAATAACACCTACCAAATTAAAACTAATTCTCAAATGCAAAATGTCTGTAAATAACTAAAAATCAGAATGTTTTGAATATTTTACAGCGTTTTTTATATAAGTTTTCTGTGGAATGTTCAAGTCTCTACGAATATTTGCAACCGAATTACAACTTTAATAAAACATTATTGAAAATAATAAAACCGTAAACTTTCCCGTTTTTTTCCCCAATTGTTAATTAAACTAAACGGAAAATAATAATAATAAAAAAAGGAAACACTTTCATAAACACTAACAAAATTTAACAAAAAAAAAAGGTCTCTTGACATCATTCGATTGGAGCAAGTTTTCTGACGTAAAAGTTGTTTACAGACAGAAAACAAAGCACACACAGTAATTGCCAATACATTCCGAGCGTTACCCTCAGAATCTAAAACGATGAGTGAAATAACGGAGAGTGAATACAGCAGACATTAATCGTAAATAAAGTGTAGAATTTTCTTCTTTACCCAGCAGCGATGTCCATCGAAGGACCCATTGATTGTCGACGACCACGCACGTTTATAATATTCAAGGGGCGGGCTGGCCCGTCATCTGTATTATAGTTTGATCCAAGTTTTAAGACTGCGTACTGGCCTGCGGACCTGTGGCCACTGATAATATTCAAATATTTTATCCGCGGGAACGTCGCGCGGCGGAATATCGAAAACTCAACGCGCTCAACCGCCGGTATTTTTACCGAAAATAAACACCGGCGATTGGAGGGGGGGGCGGCGGCGGCGGCTCCATGACGACCGCTTTGTTGACCGCGCCGGTATTCACCGGAGTACGGTATACTCGGCGTCACGCGCGTAAAACAGGACGGGCGCGCGCGCACAACGTACCTAACCTAACCCCGGTGGTCGCGTGGTTCGGACCACGGACAAGGCTTCTCGCGGGTACCGGCGTGCAGGAACGGTACGCACTAGGTATGTGAGCGCGTCGGTGCACGCGCGGGCCGCGTGTCGTCATGGCGACGACACTTTCACAAAGCCGACCGTGTTCGACGGCCGTCAAATACGTAGGTATAATACGAGGATAAAAAAGAAAAAAATTATATTATTAAACAGGTACGACACGGTGCATAGCGCCCGTAACCCCACCAACCGTAGCGCGTTATACGAAGGCGGTCCGTGAGTCGTGACCTCATACCCGTAGCACGGAACCGAGTGACAGTGGCGCATTCGGCCCGAACGCGGACGATGGGTAACGCGCGCCGTACGCTTTCGCCGTGTACAAAAATATTGTAATCATAAAAAAACAAAACAAACAAAAAAAAAAAACAAAAAAACAATAGTAAATAGGTGCATAATATCAATACAATCGCGGTAGTTTTTTTTTTTTTTTTGCCAAACATTCTTTTTCCCTACGCCCCCGGCAGTGTGTCGTCGGCCGCGTGTGTTACGACGACGGCGGCGGCGAGGCGATTTTCGGATTTTCGTTTTTTTCATTCGTTATCGCCCGTCTCGTAAACACAACTCTGTACACGTTCGATTACGATTCAAATACCGCAGCGATAATATCATAAAATTGTCCGCGCACGACGGAGACGTTTTCGCCCGCGGACCACTGCAGATGTCGCCGTCGGTCAAAGTGTCGGTCCGGTTTAGCGCAGCAAAAACATTAACACCCGGACGAAAAACGATAACATTGTCGCCGTGTAGAAGGACAACTCGCGTGGTTCCGCGGACGTAACCCCGTCAGACACCAGCGCGGTAAACCGAGGGGGGGGAGGCGGAAAAACCGGAAACGCGATGAACAACAACCCGTACGCCCGGCCGACGGTACAGCCGCACATTGAGGATTTGCCTTCCGACTGCGGGTGAGTTTGACGCACGCCGTCTATCCGTTATAACGTTATTCTCTATTTCTCTCTCTCTCTCTCTCTCTCTCTTTCTGTCTTTCGTCGTGTTTTTACCGATATATTTTTATTTTTTTCTAGCCTCGACTGACCATAATTATAACCACAATATTATATTAGTTTAGAGGCCGGATTCATATTATTTTATAATCCGCGAAAAACCATTAAAAACACGAAAATAAAAAATAAGTAAAAATCATAGATATGTGTTTTAAAGTCCCCCTCTATAATGACTCGTAGTGTTATTAAATTAAATTGCCTAACACTACAAAAATTATTAACACGAATCGATTTCTTTTAAATAAAATCGTACATATTATATAAAAAAAAAAAATTACTTTTTATTAATCATTTTTATGGTGTTGGAAAATTATATTTATAAATCGTTAGACTCGTTAGTCGTTAGAGGAGGGGCTATTAAACACCTCTATTATTTTTGCGTTTTCGTATACCTATTTTTTAAGTGATATTTTTTTAATTTTTGAGGCTTTTTGACGTTTCCAAGTGTTTTTTTGTGGATTTTAAGAACATATGAATCTGGCCTCTATTTATTATGTATACTTCCGCGATATCACTGTATCTGCAACGAATCTGTCGCAATCGTATCGTGATCGTTGTCACGAGTATATAATTATTATTATCATTAATTCCGCATGCCAGCACTGTCTATAATATTTGAATATTATAACGTGCAAATATGTTCAGCTCACGTCATATTTTAAAACTCGAAATGTCTTTTACGTTTCGGACACCAATAATATTCTATATAGCGTTCGGATCAACAAGTTTTCGTCTGCTCGCCCATCATCAGCGCTCTTTTCTCGATATTCTTTTGGTCTAAATCAAATAAATTTGATAATAATATTTTTCTAGACATATTCATATTCATAAAATTTATATCACATGTACCGTTTATATGAGTTATAAAAGCTTAAAGTTTAGACCGGAGGAGTAGACAAGGGTAATAAAGTGCATATTATTTATTTTTAAACGATAAATTGGTAACTCTTCTACATACCTCCAGTCTAAACTTTAAAGTGTCATAATAACTCATAAACGGTTAGTTGTAAAATCGGATTAGTGTTATGTACATCAAAGTGTCTAGAAAAATATTCCCTGGGTTTGTGATTGAAGGGGAGGGGGCGGTTACTATTTAAAAATCCTAAAAATTGAAAATAATGTTAAATAAAGCTAGAACAATTTTATAATGGTTTAGAAAAAAAAAAAAAAAAAACATAAATCCAATTCGCTTAAAATCCACCGAGTAAATGGGGTTGGTTTATGATAAAAGAATCATCTTGTTTTCATTACAAGTAAATTACATTTTGAGTATTGCTAAATGACTAAAATTACTTTATATAAAATAAAATATATTATGACTCATGTATTTTCGTGGACCAAAAGTCATAACAAATTCGTGTATTTTAATTTTCAGTATAACACGTGTTAGAATATATGCCATTATTATACACTTATGCCATTTAGATCGAAAAATAAAGGAGAACAAATAAGATGTATAAAAAAAAAAAAGGCCAAACGCTGTCTTAAGACTTTGTTCTCTGGCCCCCTGGGACCAAACATATATAACATGTTTAATGTTCAAGCAATAATATTGGCACGTTGCATAGGAATTTATTCGTTTTATTAGCATTGCAAATCACCACAAATCGTACATTATAGAAATTTTAGAGAGATGATTTTGCCGTTTTCGAACAATTATTATTATTATTCTATTTCTATGTGAAATTCTGAAAGAGGGGACAAAGATTTTGTCTATTGAACTATTATATTATGAAAACAATAACAATAACTATAATGTGTGTACCTACATTTACACTTTACACAATTGACTTATGTGTACAATGTTTTAATATCAAATAAAAATCTAAAGTTTCAATGACCTAGTTTTTACGGTTTATTTTACAACGAATAATTATTATCACTGCAGTTTTTAACCCTAGTACTAGTGAATTCAACTATCCAGATTAAGAATAAACAGTATATCCATATTTGTTTATCCGAAATCCGAATTATTAGAATAATCCAGGTAATCCAAATAATTTTATTAAAAGACGGACATACTTAGCACATGTGTGGGCCACTGTTGTAGGTGAGAAGTTGGAAAGGTAGGATACAGACGGGAATTTAATGTATATACACAACGATATTAATCATTGTTAACGAAAAACGATTCTAAGTGGAATTCTGAGCGGAATAACCTAACTTATTTTCCCGGCTTTTCTCATATATTGGGATCCTGGGAAAATCAATCAGCCTCTCTTAATTACTACCTCAGGCGAAAATTTCCTTTCAGAAAAGATGCTATACTTGATACTTCGAACCAAGATTTTTGGTAGAATTTTGGTACACGGTATAAAAAAAAAAAATTAAAAAAAATCCTCTTTCTAAAACTAATACACAAATACACTTCACTACTTCAGAGTTTAAAACAGCCACGTTAACACATTAAACTTTAGGTAAAATAGTAATAGTCAGATCCACGCAGATGATATAAATCCGAAAAAAATTAAAGAATATTCAAGAAGTGGATATAAAGACATTCGAACTACAAGGATTATCCGAATAAAACTTATTTCAATATACGGTTTCGGATATCTGGATATATTCAATTTCATTGACATCCAGGGCCGGATTTAGGACTATGTTACCTAGGTGGCTGGGCTACAGCCTAAGGGCGCCGAGGCTGGGAGATTAATTTTTTTTTTAGATATAATTCCTACCTACAAATTTAATTTACCACCTACTAGAAAAAAAAAATCTATTGAATATAAATACTGATATTAAATAATGTTTATTTTTGTAAGTTTGCTGATATAAAATTATAAATATAGCCCGGAATTAACCGAATATCATTCAAACATTCGATAAGTAAATGGGTGATAAAACTTTACATTAAATTATATTTGATAATATTATTACATATTCATGATATTTTCAACACGCTCCCTGTAGAAGAGGATCAGAATACTCCCACAGTACTTCTACTTGTCGTAAACGACAAATGTAGTTTGGTCAGGTCGACAACCGATGTAAAATTCTGTCAAATATGAAGAGTTCTAACAAGAATTCGGCAGATTGTCCCATACTTTGCACCAACAACGGTAGTGCACCATACACCCATCAGCAGTAATAGCTCTTTGTATTTTTTTTTTTTTGTTATTGAATACCTATGTAATATGTAATGTCACTGTAATATAACAAAACCGCGTCTTGAAAAATATACATTTTTAATCGGAATATAAAGGCGGTACGTTTTACCATAATTAATTTAGGTCAACTGAACGTAGGCAGGTACGAATAAAAAAAAAACTGATTATTTAAATATTTTATTGTTACTGGAAATAAAATAATTAAGGTGTACCATAGTACTGGAATATTTACTAATTATAAATTTGACAAAAAACATTTGTTTTTTATTATAGTTGTCGCGTTAAGCTAATATATTTAAGCTAATTTAAATAGAAGAATATTTATTGTAAAATTCGGAAGAACACTTGCTGTTTTAATTACAATAGACAGACGTAAATCGATGTGAACCGGGAGGAAAGAGTTAAATTTTACCTCCCCCCAAAAGATAATTATTCAATTAGTTACGTTTTAATCATTTAAAACGCACCAATAATCGTTTTGGTGCCCCTTAAAGAATCCAACTCTGTTACAAGTATACCTAATATATAAATACAAGAAGTAATTATTTATTTTTAATACAGTATAATATTTATAAAATTGTGTCATAAACATTCTTTTCAAATTTTAAAGAACATTTGAATATTATATTTCATTGAGTATTATCAATGCAATTTTTTGATTTTATTAGGTACCTACTCGTGCGTGAACTTCAATGACTCGTAAACCTCTCGTGCCGCTGCACTATTCAGTGATTATTAATTATGGATGTTTTTAGTATAAAATTTATAAGGAGATTTAGATATGTTTCATTTCTGTTTCAAACTGTACACTTGAGCTGAATAATATTATACTAAATTTTTTCGAGAATAAAATAATTACAGCTATAGTATACAGTGTGTATATCGCAACTAGGAAATTACACAATATAATAGGTTTACTTATATTTTTGAATTCTTAATTTCCCCCCCCCCAAGATATAATAAATATAAATATAATAATTTGTAATAGTATATTATACAAGATAATGGATCTTGGTGTAATTGACACGTAATTTAATTCGAATTTATTGTACATTAGGTACGTGCTATGTGTTGTGCTGATATTATTATTTCAAAATTAAATAAGGAGTAAGGATCTAATTACCTTAAAGTTATAACAACCGAAAATTATTTTTCGAACGTGGGTTATTTAGATTTTAGATTAGAATTAGATTTGTTCAAAAATTAACTGCGCGTTCGGGGTTCACCGAAAAAAAATACAAAATTTAAAAAAAAATTTCAATGCTCACGTCTAGTTAAATAGTTTAATGTTGTTTTTATTATATATATATATAATAGGAATGTCTATTTTAGAAGTCATATTTTATTTATCATCAATCGACCGGATGTAAATGAGACCAATTGCACTGTAATTTAATTTTTAATTGATTTTTGCCGATTGAGCGTAGGTATTAAAATATTTTATTTTTATGTAAAATAATATGTATAGGGTATAGGTACACTGGCATATTTATTAAGTAATAATTTGACAGAAAACGACCGTTTCTTACTATAGTTGGCATGTTAAGCTAATATAACTATTGTTATAGAATAATTCGAAAATTCGAAAACCGTTTTCTTTTTTTTTTGTTATAAATACAATTGTTTTATGTTATAATACTTTAATAATATTATATTATTATGGGTTAGTTTATGATTAGTTGAAATATTGTTTAGAGAATTACAAATTCATGTTCGAAAAATATATATTTAGACAATTTTGAGTTTAAAAAATGAGATAAAAATAATTATCTATCACTAAATTCTACTTGTCGTTACATAATTGTATAATAATACATAATGCATAATTGTACATAATTGTATTAATTTCGTATGAATTTTTAAAGAAGATCAAAAGCAGAATTGATAGAATTACCGTTGGTAATAGATTAGTTAATAATTTATTTATAATTGACGATCAAACAAAAGAGGGATCGTTATTTGCGGTCCGTATTAAACGATTAAAGGGGGAATTTTCAAGGAAATTTCTAGATGATAGTGGTATTTAGAATGGGGCTTGGGATCGAGTGGATCGAGGTGGGACTTTAAAGTTGATAAGAGATAGGAGAGTAGGAGAATCAATTTTTCCGCTAAGGAGATTAGATAGAAAGAGATATTACTCGCCTGTCTATGATCCGCAAGACTTATAAGGCTCAGAGAATGCAAGACAGTACAGTAATCACGGGGAGAACAAGACATTTGGAGTCGGTACCCAACAGCACGGAGAAACCTTCGCTGAACAATCTATCATAGCGCTGAATGATGCGGGAGCTGGGTCATACAATACACTACCGTACTCAACGATAGGCCGTACCAGAGTCGTCGGGTAGAGTCCAGTCGAGGGATTTTAGTGGCAGGACAATATGGTATTGTGGTGAGGATCGAAGGATGAACCCGAGAACTTTGAGCGCCTTACAACATATCTCTATGTGTTTGTGAGGGAAGAGGTTACTGTTAATTATTTATTATTTTTTAAAATATAAGTATTAGATTATAGATATATGATTATAACTTTGATACCATAGTGGAAGAAGAGCTTTAGTCAATTTTGTCAATATAGTTTTCAATATACAATTAAATTTAAAATTTTTAAAACTACATAAAGGCATAATGGGCTTAGTTACTAAATGACTAAATTAATAGCGTTCTTGAAACCGTGTCGCTTAGAACCTTTTGCCGTGTCACCATCGATATAATGAATTAAGATATTTTAATTTTCAGTATAACATGTGTTAGAATATGCATACACTTATACTGTTTAGACAAAAAAATAAAGGGGAAGAAATTATATAAGACACTACAGTTGTAAAAAAAAAAAAAATCTAAAAATTGTCTTAAGTCCTTCTTTTCAAAGATACATTTCATGTGTGGATGTGTTTTACTTTTTTGACGAATCTAAAGAAAATCTTAAACGTTAATATAATATAATAAATTCATAAGACTATTTTTTTTTTCACTGACAATAATTTAAAACCTAAAATACTATACGTAATATTCGCTATTCGATCAATAAAAAAACCTGACGTTTCTATAATTGTTTACCAATATATATTTATAATATGATATCATAATATATATTATAATATAGGACATAAGACGTAACAATGACGTATATATTTTGAGTGGTGTCTATTATAGTGTACAAATATTATTTTGAGACAATTATAATTAATTACGACGAAATTAATTATAATTATTAACATTTTCGATGACGTGCTTAAATAGAAAAAACTCTTGGTAACGTCTATACCGAGACATTTAAATAAAACACGGAAAAACGTACCTACCTATAATACGTGAAACTACTATTAGTTAGGGCTAGTCTGACTGAGCTGTTGCATAACTAATTAAATACTAAATACTTACTAATATTATACCTACCGTAGACATTGTATACATATATATTTTTCTACGTCAACGGTTACATATGTATCTTTTTTTTTTTTCGTCACGAGCACACGGCGTCGTCGTTGGTTGAAAACATAATATCATGCGCTCGGCCGACGTTCGCAACGAAAGAAACCAAAAAATGTTCCACGCGCCTCAAATAATCTGAGCGTATTATTAGCGTATGTATAGGTACGTAAAACGACGGGGAGGGAGCAGGAAAATCAAGGAAACTTTTATGCGCCTAACTATTACACGATGTGAATTTCGATCGATAAAAACATAACGCTCACTGCTAAATGCATAATCGTGCGAGGTGTTAATATTAACGATATTATAACGTTTAGTTTTCTGTGAATAATGTCAAGATAACTTTTCAATACTTTTCCTCAAATTTTATCTATAAACTCCTTTTTTTTTTTTTTTTTTTTTTTTTTTTTTTGTAATTCAACGGTTTATTTCATTTATTTACCATGTAAAAATCAAAATATTACTGCAATAGTTTGCAGTAATTCTTTGGTCTTGGGGAAGACCTTAAGTCAGTTTTGTACTTATAGTTTTCAATACAAGCAAGTTCAATTTTGAAAATATATAAATGTAGATATGCCGGCCTTTCAGACTAAAAATTTCATACGATAAAATTACAAAAAAAAAAATTAAAAAAACGCCCTAACTGGGACTAAAGAATTATAGTAATGTATAGTGTATTACATATATAATATATACAACAACTATTTTAGGTTGTATATAATAGGTTATAGGTTTGTTTTTAATTTCTCATAGTTTATCAGCTGCAGATGAATTCAACTAAATCTTTGGCTGAAAATCTATACGTGCAACCCTTAAAAAAATGAGGATTAAGGATTCTATATAAATGCAAAACTGAGTGTTTTTGGTTGTGGCGAATCGCGGGAAAACGCGTTATTGATTTGTCATTTAATATTGACACAGTCAAAAACGTGCGAGGTAGCTAGTAAATAATTAAGCAGATCGACTTTGAAATCGTTTGCGATGGACCGTTTAATCGACCCTGCTATGCAGTATTCATTTCGACCAGTCTTCTAACTACTCGTAGTAACTTCATCCTTCTACCAATTGTCTTATTATTATTATTTTATATATTTATCAATTTATCATCACACACAAAAACGATAATAGATAATATTTCAAATTGAAAAAATAATATCAACATCAAGATCAAGGGGATACTATAACACCCTAGAACTCCCCGTTAAATCCGTCTCTGGTTATTCCAGTTGTATACATGTTGGTTACATGATGCGGTTTGTTCCTCGTGTTCACCGCAAATATTTACCATGTGTTTACCGTTTTGTTCGTTAAATCCCATTGAAAATTCGAAACAATCGTTATTGCTGTGCCGCAGTATTTTATTTTTTTTTTTTCAAGTATAATATGATGGGCACACCCGTTTTCTGTTTTTATGTGGACATTGACGTCTCGTGTGCAATGTGCATACATTATTGTATAGGTATTACACAACAAATATACATCGCTGGTACCTAGGTGGCTAGGTACACGTGTAGGAAAATTATATGTACCTACACATATTATCGTAATATAAACATTTAACGCTGTCTGGGACATATGGTGTGAACCCTATGCGTATAGATTGCTCATTTAAGTATGTATAGGTATTATTATAGGTATACGCGCAGGAACATACACGTATACTGCTGGTATCATTGCAGTGTATAATATTCGAATAGGTACTCCAAGTATAATATCGTCGGCTTAGAAAAAGAGGGACGTGTAAACCAAATTTAGTTTTTAATTTTATGCATATTGTCCAAATTTTTTTCAGAATTTAGTGTTAAAATTACATTAGATGCTAATTTAATTTAATTTAATTTAAGCAACTAAATGCTAATTTTAACAAATTAAATTATCAAATGTAAATTTAATTTCAAAATAATTTTTTTTTTGGTTTTACTGAAAAGTTTGCATTATTTGATTGATACGTTCCTCTCATTTTAAACCGACGATATTGTAGGTATGAATTATATTATACGTAGCGTGGTGAAAGCTTTTTTTAAGAGACGATATTTGACAAATCGAGTAAACGGCTTAAAATGCATTATAGTAATATGTATTAATATGCAAGTTTGACTAAATATAATGGCGCAATTATAGGTACTGAAGTCCATCAATACAGAGGAAGAGCCTCGTAAATCAAATTTATTTAATATTATGGCAGGGCTCATGCCCTACTTCTCCCCCAAGGTTTATGAACTAATTACGCCACTAATTAAATAAGAATTAAGTCAATGCATACTAGTGACTCGTGACTCCACAAAACGTGGAAATAGCCTATTTACTAACTCGTATTAGGTATTTATGTATATAGGTACCGGGTACCTGGTACCTATTAAAAATAAATTCCAAAATTTCTCGAAAACCACGTAAAAATAATTACATGATTTTCAGTCAATAGATGTAGTTTATAAAATTGAATTCGCCTCGGTAATTTTGAGTTCACCGCGCCACTGCAAGCAATACGCTATCGTCGATAAAAAACGATTAGGAATGATGACTATAATACCTACTGGAAAAGTTTGGCCGACACTGAACGATGACCTTCTTGCACTTCCGGTTCCTCGTTCGTCCGAAGACCCATCATTATGTATGCTATTCCACATATTGTCTGAATTTGTTATTAATCGTAATGTAGGTGGACTGTACTGTTTGTGTACGAATCGAAATCCACGTCAAATCATCACCATTAGGTGTATTATATTATAAATACGCGTACAGTGGCGGCGATGCCCATTCAATTTTCTGGCATATTGAGGCGGCTGGGTATAAAAATAACTGTGTGTATGAAAACGATGTTTCGAAATAAGTTGACAATGTTTTGCGTAAAAAGGTTCATACCTATTATACATTTTAATCGTGTCACCGTTAAATTATATAGCGTATAATATAGTTATGTTGTAACTACCTACCTGCTATTGTAATTCGATGCAATTATCTTTGTTTTTTTTTAAATCGTTCTATTATAATATTTAATACGTTTTAGTATAGGTACTTGTTCGGCTTGTCCATGGATGCTATTAAAGTATTAACTATTAGTTGCATAGGTGCCATAATATGTATAGATAGAACTCCAATGTTCTACATATTTGAATAATTAGGGAAAAGGTATATTTGAAAAAAAAAATTACAATGGTATACCTATTGGTATCTATTATGATATAATAATAATCAAGGCTCGGATTTTATAGCACTGAAAATAACTGAAATATTTCGCTATATATGGCTTAACAAATCTTAAAATAACGGCTATAATATGTACTAACAATTTTGAATTAAGCTATAGTATGCCATAAAAACATAAAAAAATTCTCAAAAAGAAAATGTTTTTTTTTTTTAAAATATATATATAAAAATACAACCGAAAGAAGACATAAATGTAAACTGTTTGATAATTCAATAAGCACGGCTACTTAAAAATAAATTATAATACGAAATGAGAATGTAGGTATTTTTCTTATGGACTCACATAAATGAAAGATTTTTTCTAATTTTTCATGAAAATTACAAAATAAATCATAACATTATACATATTAGCAAAAAATAGCAATATTAAATTTCATATCTTTTTAGTCCCTGGCGCATAAAACAAATATAAAGCGCACTCTGCTATTTTTTATCTGTATCCTAATACAACTGTTAGCAAATGCTATAAAATCCGAGCCCTGTTAATAATATGTAGGTGTCTTTTAAATACCTATCTACTTACAATATGTAGGCTACCAATCTACCTATATTAATTAACACTATAATAACATGCGCCACGTTTTAACGCATATTTTATCGGTTTATTAAATAAAATTATTGTAATACTGCTATATAACCAATATTATCAGGTACATGTTTATAAAATGTATAGATATGTGTACTTTTATATATCTTGAGCCATACAACAATGGGTATTAAACATGGACGTGGACATGCATTATAGGTAGGCATCTACCTATATACCTATATTTATTAATAAGTACCCAGGTACTGTATAATAGTGGCATGCGCCATGTTTTATCAACACATTTTAACAATACTAAACTTGTATGTAGATATGAATTATCACTTTTTATATATATATATATAATAGTTTTAATTATACTATACATTTTAATGTCTGTATCATAAATAATTATTAAGTAATGGATAATGTCTACCTAGGTATTTTAAATTTCGGTTAAAGTAATAATATCGTTTTCTTAAATTATACTAGTTTCCTTTCAAATGTATATAAATGTATTATAAAACAAAAATAGATAGTTTAAAATATATATATATGTAATTATATATTATAATTAGTAAATGTATAGTTCAAAGAGTTAAAAAGGAATTAATTTACAAGAGGGAAGGAATGGAGAACTGCCGATCAAAAGATTGAAGACCCAAAGAGAGAAATGTATAGTTAAAAACCATAAATTTGTAATTGATTATTTTTATTTGAAATACCAAATATATTTGTGTATACTTTATTTAGTATATTTTATTTTTCAATTATGTCCCAGTTTAACTCCATACTCGTTTAAACTATTATTATATGGTAAAGATTTCAAAATGAGAAGAACCAGTTACATGGCATAGGCAATTTGTTAACATACCTATTCAAAACAAGACAATTTGTGTCGCTCTACAAAATGATTTTTCTTCAAAGCATACCAATCTGTTGTGTAATCAACTAATACGAGTATAATAGGTACATCTATATCTATTGCATTTACTTTAAACTTCCCATGACCGATTAACTCGTATTTTATCTATACTATTGTGATAAAGAGGTAAGGTTTGCACGAGTGTGAGTTTGTATGTAGATTGTAGGGGTAATCTCTGAAACTAAATATCCTATTCTGTCACTGTTAGATACCTATAGTATTTCCGATGTAGTATGTGTTTTAGCCAAGCTATCACGGTTTTTGTCTAGCAAGTCAGAAAAAAATACCGCTTTTCTAAGCATTCTTAAAACACGTAGCGTACGAATACTACGTACTATAAAAATGAAAACAATGAATGGCAAACATGTAGGCTTTTATAATAGGATATGTTGACTTACATGCTAAAACTAATTTTTTTTTTGTTTTTTACTAAGTAATGTTTAGAATTTAGATGTTTATATTATCAATAAAGTAAAGCTGTAAGCTAGGACTGCTGATTTGACTATGAAAATTCTTCAAATGAAAAAAACGAGTAGAAATCTACACTATTCCCGGATGGCGTAGGCTATGCCCACTAATTGAAATCCTAAAGTGGGCAGATCCATTTTTAGTACGAAAATCTATTTATTTTTATTAATTTATGAGTTACACAGAAAAAAAACAACAAATATTATCTAATTTGTTTTTTATTAAACAAATAATATGACGGGAGACATATTAATATACTACCTATTACATAATATATACCATAAATGAAGAACTTTAGTAATTGAATTTCGTTGTCATACGGGCATTTATTTTGTCACGGACAAGGCCGAGGGGACAATTAGTTTTATAAAACAAAGCGCTCTGTAAATAAAGAGTAAAGTCTTGTGTACCACATCCTAGTAATCAGATGAAATGTTTAATAATAACAAGCTTGCATTTTTCATGAAGTTTACTTGAAAACGACTTTTTCACTTTTTTGAAATTGAAAACTTATACTCTTAAAAATTTGATTTTTTTTTAGAATTTTAAATTATGAATAATATTAAATTAAAAAAAATAAATAATAATAAAATGCGATTTTATAGGTAAACTTCATGACGAATATTAAAATGTATTTCTAGAAGATTTTCCGGTAACGGTGTCGTAAGCGATTTACCTGTATAAATTTAACTGTTCAGTAAGAGTATTTAACCTAACCTAACCTAACAGTACGGGGTAAACACACAGTAGTTGATCGATTCTACTTGTGCCATGTTGTTGTTGTCGATTATTTTTGATCACTGTCGAGTGTCGAGATAAACGAATCTTTTTTCATTGGAAACGTAAATACCATAAAATTCGTTTAATGCGAGAGGATTTTCCGATAACAAAGTAAATCGGTACAATTGGCAAAAGATTGAAACCTACTTTTAAACAAACAAAAAATCCCTTCTCGACTGTACCCCTTCCTCTTAAATGGCCGCATATAAGTTCAAAAGTCTTATCGTTAAGATGATCATTTAACTATAAAAATATGTTTTGAATTTTACAAACTTGGAGACAATTTGAAAACCATCGAAAATCTTTTTAATTTATAAATCTATATTAATCAAAGGAGACGGGTTTTTTTTTATATCCAATAAAATGTTATTGAAATGTTTTTTATACAGATTGCAATGGCTGGGATATTCTCTATGCCGTTCTTGGATAAGATGCGCTACCATTGGAAAATATTTGATCACGATTACTATATTTATTTTCTTCCAAACGGCGTCTCAAAGATACTTTTTTTCAACGTTAGAATCGAAAAGCTACAACATCCCCAAAGAAATATCGGGTATGTTTAATTCGTTTACTATGTACCTAATGATAAATAAATAATTGCATAATAAAAATACCGATGACGTACCTGTGTACAGCAGTGTACACTGATTGACGGAAACGAAGTGTTTAAAATATATGTATGAATTATGACAATGCAGATTGGCTGTGGATGCTCAGCGGGTTTATTCATTTAATCCTCTCGACGTTCATCGGGTACCGAGGAGGCAAACGTAACAAGAGTTCATGGATTGCATTTTTTGGAGTCCTACAGGGTATTTTGGCCGTCTTGTTAGCGTTGATCAACGCGTCCGACCACTACAGTTTTCAACGACCGTCAGCCTTAGTTTTAGCCACTTCGGGTAATTATAATAATTATAAATGTACCGTATAACGGAATAATCAATGGTCCGTGCTAATATAAATATTTTATTTTTCAGAAACACCGCTCTGTAACTCGATACACGGCAATTCTCACTACACCCAGGAACCGTACGTTTCGTCCCACTTGGTGAAAATCACAGTACTGTGTTTACTCCAAGTCAGCATGTCTTTGGGAAGCACTGCTGTATTGGCTCTGGGTCTAGGTCTGCTCGATGAGTCGGTGACTCCGACCAAAATTCCGGCTTGTATAGGTGTAGTGATCGGTTCGTCACTGTTGGGTCTCCAGACCGGGTTGATGGTGGGCAAATTTGCGTTTCACATGAGCGCGGAGTCCAATCTGTCCGGAGACATCGCGTGGCTCAGTGAGTTTAATACCTTCAAAACTCGAATTCAATGCATTGTCTACACTCTTTGCGCTTGTATATTTTAACAGTAATCGGACTAATCCTGATAGCGGTCTCTTTCGTTGTGGTCCTATTTCCCGGCCGACTGGTTACGAGTCGCGCGTCGTCATTAATACGGAATAGTCCTATTTATCGAAACAATAGATACGGTAAGTTAGGTACCTACTGCAGCCGTGTAATTTACACGATGCAGTCCCAATAGGCAGTAGCGGATCCAAAGGGGAAAATGCACTCCCTTCCGGACTTTAGAGACTATACAAAAGTTTCTACGTCCACAAATATTCAACTGTTTAACGCATATAAAATACAAGGTTTTCACGGAACAAAAGCGGAGAGGAACGACGATTGTATTAATAAATAATAATTGTGTTATGATGTATTTTGGGAGGCGCGTAAAATATTAGAAAATATTTTGTCGAAAAAAGAATTCGTCAGAAAGTAGTTTGTCGGAACCGTATTAAGTCTGTCCCGACGAATTATTTTTCCGACAAAATACTTTCCAATAAACAATAGCCATCCGTATTTTGTTTTTTAATTTTTATTCTGTTTGTATACACATTTTCTATCAGAAATCTTACTCCAATCAAAACGTAAGTTAGCAATGGTTTGTCTGTTCGTGCTTACAGACGTAAATTAAACAATCTTATGTGTCCTACCTTTTCAACTTCGCTCGCCTAAAACAGGACAGCTGCACACATCACCAATAACGCCTACTTTTTTTTTTCTTTTTGCTTAGTAGTAATTTTTTTCCTAAAAATTCAACTCTGGATCCGTCACTGCCAATACAGGAATGTATGATTATTCGATCGTTCAATTTTATAGATTTTAGGAGCACGCTCGGAAGAATTTTTGGTAACAAGCTAGTTTTGTCGAACGTGGCCGCCATTGCTTGCGTGTACACGGTATTGATCAATACTCTGTACGAGGAGCCCAATTACATGGAGTCGGTGTTTTTCGTACCTAAACACACGACCGATGCAACCGATCAAAGCACGATTATTATCGGTGCGTAAACAACGTATATCTAAGGGCGATGTTAATCCTATACTGCATAATATGCTCGTATACATAGTTAAATAATTATAAATTTCCATAAATAATTTAAATAATTGGTATAAGCCGGGTATATTTTCTCTATGCCGGGCAAATTAATTTCACATTAAACGCATTCAAAATGAAAACACGCGATGTTCGTCTGATTATATAATTTGTTTATAATTTTTTTTTTAGATTTTTTAAGATATCCGTTGGCGGCCATTTGCGTTTATTTATCTGGCGTGTTGATTTGCGTCGCACAGCCGAGGGCTACATTATTAGCGGCCTGGAACATCGGAATCATTTGTATCGTGACTATTTTAGTTTTCTCTGGTATGTTTCTCCGGTGTTCCAAAATACAAGTACACAATCAATTAACGCACAGGTAGGTTCAAAATAAGCTTGAAATTCATAATTGGATACATTTACGCACAGTTTATAGTTATTAAAACAAATTTTATACGAGTTTTTCGACTTTGTCAATAGAAACGAACTAAACGAATATTGTAATAAGGACTGCAGTTGTCCGGACAATATTCCATTCGAACCAGTTTGTTCGATCAACAGTCGTATTGTCTACTATTCGCCTTGTCATGCCGGTTGCAAGACTAAAGACGTTTATTCTAGACAGGTGCGCTAATAAATGGAACATATATAAATATTTAATACACCTACGGCGCAAAATAAAAAAAAAACCTAATATTTAAGTACCTAATGGTTTTTTACTCCCATATATAGGAGTACGTCGGATGTGAGTGCATGGCAACGGAACACGCCAGCAAGCGCGCTTGTTACGATCATAACTGCCATCAAATGAACATTGGCTATCAATCAATTTCAGTATTGATTCTATCGCTTTTGAGTACTTGTATAGTGGGCACTATCGTTTTACTATTGAGGTAATAGCCGAATTTGAAAATCGTACCTATTTGGCAACGTGACCAAACAACTATTTAACCGATTGCTTTTGGGTTTTTAGAAGCGTAGAACCTGACGACCGTACTACAACTCTGGGTTTTGCAGTTACTTTCATTTGCTTGATGGGACACATACCCGGGAAAATTCTCTATTATTTAGTTTCCCGTACGTATATACTATATATTATATAATGATCATCAGCTGTACATCTCTGACATGATTTTTATACTACGTGACGTATGCTTATTTTCAGATTTTACGTGTATTTTATACGACAACAATAAACAATGTCGGCTAAATGGCTCAGCAACATTTTCCACCTATCTTAGTTTGTCCAACATATGTAAGTTTACCAGAGTAAATAGTATTTCTTTGAGTGTTTAATTTTTACACAGACTTCATTCACATAAACCTATGCAGGTATACTCATGACTTCAGCAGCACTCTACTCGTGCGTATGTTTAATGTCGAAGCCAATGCGTCCGTATGGCAATACGGATTCTGCAAAAAAGTTTATAGTTAGCTCGGTGACGAGTCCGCTAAGTCCATTAACTCCACCTGGATTTGAAGAACGTGCACCGACGCCAACCAGAAAACCACCAAAAAGAAGACCGTCCGATTTAACGTTTTCGGACTCAAACACCAATATTGATTTTACCAGACACACGGACGATTATTCGCCCAGAAGTCCTGGAACCACACTCCGAGAGGGTGGGGTCTTGACAACATTATTATAAAGATTCAATAACATTGTGTACAAATTCAAAAAAAAAAAAATATATTATACGTTGTATATCTCGTCAGTAATATACCTACATAAAATCAAAATTAACGCCATATTACCTATATATTTAATTAGTAGACATCTCTATAGGGGTACCTATTACGAATCTAGTCTGTAATCTGGAAGAAATGGCAAATTTGACTCTCATCTAAAACTTGAAAATAAAAACATTGCGTTACACAAAATTATGTTAAGGATAATATTACATATCAATATTTTGGTACGTAAAATTAAAATGTATATTAAATCATACGAGCTTAATACTTAAACATATTATTTGCTTATAATAAAGTATGTCATAGGTATTTAGTGCACATACATAGTTATAGTAAATGGTTATAATTTACGAAAAATGTATAATATTTAAGTTTTTATTAATAGATATCAGTTTACAATTATTTAATTTTACTTTAAGTTAGATATATAATTTAATCAAATTGTCATAAGACCTATACAAGTAAATACACTGTTGACTTTAATTTGGATTTATTTTATTTTATCTTGAACCTACAAATCAATATCACAACATAATTTAGTATAGACTACTACAAACTCTATGTACCTATCTAATTATAACATTATGAATCTAATAAGTAATTACATGTTTATTTTTAGCTAATTTAATTAAAAGGTAATCTATTTTATATCATGTATCTATAATTCTTAGTACATACTTAAATTACCTATTTCAATCCGTCATCAAAATAGTTTAAGATATCACTGTAAATAAATGATTTAAATCAAATCGAATCATTAACAGAATGCCTATAATAGATTTTATATAGGTAACGATATTGTAGTTGATAGCGTTTGATAAAATATTGAACCTAGTTAATTATTTTTAAATGCTAATTGGTATGAATCATGCATAATTATATGATTATACGAATGTATGTATATTTAATAGATTAATTGGTTTCCTATACATTATTAATTTACGTGGTTCAAAAAATTGTTATTATTATTTTACTATTTTAATATCTTCCCGAAAAATCCATAAAATTGTGTTTTCATTTACTAAATTTTGCAAAACATTTTTGTTTTCAATTACCTATTTATATAGGCTATATCTCAATACTTTTAAAATATATTCATAATAATGTGTACCTACTTTTGTATTCAATTTGCATACATTTTATTCATCAAATATTGCTCTACAAAAGAGTAATTAGTTTTTTGTACCTGTTATTTTTTCAAATTATTATTTGTTCCTTTGTTATACTATATGCTTTAAGTTTTATTTTACTAAAATATTATATAGTGGTTCCATATAAGTTATACTATATGATTTATATAATTGATAGTTTCAAACATCACACCATAATATTATTCACATTAGTTTTAAAGTATATTTAAAAAATCAAAAGCAATAATGGACAAGAGATAAGATTGATACCTTATTCCTCATTATTGTACATAATATAACTAAAAAAAGTATAATATTAACCGATAAAATTTTCAACACTAATTATGGCTAAAAAAGTTTATTAGTTTTGTCTTTTATGCAATAATAATACATAGGTAATAAAACAATATGTAATTGTAACTAATTTAAGTCATTTGGTTATAAACTTCTTAACTTTTCCAATATTTAACATGTTTATTTTATAAAAAAATATATTAAATGTACCTAATGATTTATTGTATTTTATTTACTCTAATCATTTAATATTAATATTTAAATACCTACCAAACAGTTTATCAATGTTCTCGATTTTTTACTTAGTAAATAAATATACAAATTCTGTGTGTTTAATATACAAAGAAATTTGATGTATTGTTAACATAATTTATGTGTACCACTAGTTTAAACAATAACTTTTTCACCTTACTAAGATTAATCGTTTTGTATTATAAAATGTGTATGTTTGATATTTATTTATTTATTTATTTATTTATTTAAAAAACATTACTTCTGATGAATAAGAAGTGAAGGCAACACTGCTCGTTATGGTTGATTTTTGCAATCTAAAACCATGTTGCTCATTTATAATAACCTGATTTATACTACGTTTTATTCTAGAGTATATCAGTAATTCAAATTAATTTACCAAGATGAGGTATTATGAAAATCGGTCTGTAATTTTGGACACGAATTGGGTTACCTGATTTTAATAACGGCATTATAGAGAATATTTCCCAAACAGTAGAGAAAACTCCCAAGTCTAGTGAGCATCTGAACAGTAAATAGATAGAAAAGCAATATAATAGGAACAATTGTACAAACATTAAGCGGATATGTCATCTGGGCAGTTGAAGTATGTTTTAGTGAGTTAAGAGCTCATCATTGAGTACATCATTGACAGATATATTAATTATATATATTTATTATGAATATTTAAGGATATAAAATTTAGTAAGTACATGTTTCGTACAATGCCTTAATAATTATTAAAAAAAAAAAAACCTTAAAAATATTGAACAGCACAAGAATTATAGATATTTGTGTTACACCCTGTTTTGTACCAATTAACTGTTTTTTTATTATTCAAGCATTTTTCAATTATCTACATAATCATTTTAAATTTGCACACACCAGTTTCTAAATAAACTCAAGGCATGTTGATTTATTTACAAAAATTTAGTTTCAAGCAGTTTTAATATTCTTCAGTTTCCAATTATTTACGATTATATTGACAAACATATTTTATGATTTTAAAATTGTATTATATGTAAATCAGTTTTTGGAAAAAGTAACATAAGTGTATTTCAATAATATGATTATTCACATGTCACATGTTATGTTCATATAAGTAAATATTTCAAAATCAAATTATCTACCCATTGCAAAAAAATAATGGTAATGGGACATTTTAAAGTTGCTTGTTTCTTAAATTTTCTAAAAACCAAATTCCAAAAAAAATTATTATTTTCTGAGATAATGAGTGTTTTCCATTGTATTGTTCACCCTGTATTGAACCGTCAATTTATAATTTTATAAGTATTCTTTCGTTTTTTAGAAGATCAAAGTAATGTGCAAATTACTTACTTCATTTCTTTTATTATCTTCACTATAGTCATAATAAGATGTTATGTCATAAATAATGTCTTCCTCATTAATATTTTAGTCTAAAAATTGCTCATTAAAGCTAAAACAACAAAAAAAACAATGCATTTTATAAAACAACAAATTCATTTTGAAAGAATAATTTATTTTATAATTGATATTAAAAAACAGACATAATTTGAGTGATGGATGGACCATTGGTTTAGGAAAGAGGTTTGGAAGGTAAAGGGGAAATTGTAAGTATATATATATACATAATAATTGGTCATTGCTAACAGAAAACAATTCTGAGTGGAATTAAGTTACACATGCTTTAAAATAATGTTTCCTCCAACCTATGGGTCGCGATGAAAGAAAAATATTTTGAGTATAATATAATAAAATAGAAAAAATAAAAATATATTGGTAAGAATAATAAGAAAAAAAATATTACGGCTTTTTAAAGTTTAAATAGATACAATCTATTTTTATGCAAGTTCAATAATTATTATACAGACATAATTGGAATTCAAAAAAGTCAATAAAATAAACTGGGTTGGGCATATTTGGCGGCCAGATGGTTAAGTTAGATCGCATCTGGAAATAAGAAATGAAAACCATAGCTATGGACTCAGCTGCATTCAGGGAGAGGCGGAGTGGAAGCAGATGAGCAAAAAATGCCCGAAAACCAATAATAACAAATAAAATTATAATATGCAGAATTACAGATATTGATATTTAATAGAAGTCTGGCACTTGGGAGAAAAATCAAAATATCGAAAAACGCTAAATAATTATATTTTTTGTACCCTATCCAACCAATATCTCATGATTGAATTTTAGTTTTTCCCATTTCCCGCCGAGATACAACTGGTTTAGAGTTAATACTCATTTATGGAGTTAGAACTAAACTTAAAAAAAGAGCTGATACTGGGGATGGGTGCAGCCACTGTTGTAGGTGGGTAGTAAGGAAGGTAGGATACATAAAGTTATTTATTATACCTTTTACTAATGTTTTACTAACTAAACCATTGTTAAAGAAAAATGATTTGGAATGAAGTTCATAATTATACATGATTTGAAAGACCATAATATTTAGGATTTTCATCAAAATGTAATTTTTAAAAACTCTTATCAATTTTGTTTTTTTTACCACTAAGTACAGCTTATAATGAACCTCCTGTCAAATTTTCAAGCATTCTGTTAAGTTTAACAATTTTATGCGTAATTTATAAGTACCTACCAAATAAAAATTATGTAAAAAACTCACAAAATTAAAATGTCTATAAAAATGGCTCAAATGTTTTAAAATTTTTAGCAGGTCTAAAAAAACAAATTTTAGTTGTCTGTCAAAATTTCAAATCTCTACAAATATTTTGAACTGAATTATTTTCGAAAATTGTCCAGTTCTTTCTACATGTTTTTCGGTTTTGCTCAATTATTAAAAAAAATATAAAGAAAATCAAAAAATGACTTTCTTGAAAACCAATTTGATTAAAAAATCAACAAAATGGTCTCGTGTTTCTATATTTCTGGTTAAAAAAATTATACTGTTACCCTGTACTTTAAAAAAAAAATCATATTTTTCGTACTTTTTGGTTATTATTATCAAAAATCCTTCTAATATTAAAAAACGACTCTCGTTGGTCAGTAGCTATATGTTAAAAAGAACAAAATTTATCTCTTATCAATTTTTGATTGGAGAAATATTTCTGGTAAAAAAACATTGTGTAAATAAATAAAAACAATGAAAATAGTAACACCTTGGTAAGCCATACATATTTGGCAGTTTACCTACAATTTACTTTTAGGTTTTTTCCAATTATTTTGAAAACCCATTAGAAAATCAAAATGACCTTTCCAATGCACTAAATAGATAAAATTAGTTTTCAGAAACAGTAATACTTGATACTTTGGACACAAAAAATAATAATAATAATAAAAAAAACACATAGTAAAACCAATAGATCCATATAGAAAATACTATAAAGGTGTTCTATTCGTATAGCCACTTAAAAAAATTCCAAACAGTCAATATTTTGATTTTCAATTTTCTAACCCTTTTCAACATGACTTTTAGGAAGATGACAATGGTGTTAAATATCTTATATATTTAAGGAAATTTAAAAATGGAAATTTTGATTGTAGTATATTGATAAGGTAAGGGAGGGAAATGAAAAATATAAGGATGGTTTTTGATATTTTTCTAGGTATCTATATACATACATTAATATTAATTATTAAGAAATTTACTCACTTAAAATTTGTCAAAGAACTTTCAATATTTTTTATTCACTTCCATCATGAATATTTCTTAATTTTTTGTTGTTAAATACTTTTTTTAAAAAAAAAAATTATATATTTTGTAATAATAATAATAATAATTCGTAATCATAAATTGTATAATAATAAATACTCAATTTTGGTACAAAATACATTTTTTTTACTATGAATACGGCCTGCGAGAATTTTAGAAAACAATACGTGGCCGGCTGTGTAAAAAAGTTGAAGATCCCTGTATAAGTTTCCTCTTATTGTTCTGTTTCCACATTGTAAAACTGTGTTTTCTTCAATAGTTCTGATGTATAAAAAGCAGCCTATAATTAAAATAAAGTTATTGATATATTTCAATAAATTAAATCATTTTATAAATACATAAAATCAATAGTTTTAATACACAAATTTAAAGAATCTAGTCATAAGATTAATATAGATTCCAATTTATCAGATCAGATCAAATTCCAAAAAGCTATTTTATTATTGATGTTAGTCAGTATAAAAGCTGTAATATTTTTTAATAATAACTAAAGAAATCCTAAATGTAGTAGAATATATCAATTTCAAACATTTACAATGAACTTAATTATACTGAACATCAGGGATTACTTTAATTGTACTTATATACCTATATATTTGTATACACCTAATAAGTAAATCATCAGTAATTATAAAAATTAATATTTTTTTTTAAGGATAAATTGTATATCAAATAAAATTAAACAAAATGACAAAAATAAATAAGAAAACTATTTGACTAAAATTAATACATATAATATTCACCATGATATTTGTCAATAATTGTATAACTTTTTAACCATCTATTTTTGACAATTATTATTGAATTGTTTTTTTTTAAAAAAAATATATATAATATGTTTTTGAAATTTTATATTCCCCCTTCCCCTATATTTTTTAACTTAAAACATAATAAAAAATATAGTTTTTAAAGATAGTCTAAAATTTTAGTTTTATACCACAAAACATTAATTCAAATTTGATTTACATACAGCAATATAAAAAAAATAAATGTTTGAATTTAAAATTTAGAATATAATTTATAGATGGGTTTTATCATATAAAGTAATGACATATAATTTTATATTCATGGAAAAATAATACATTAAATATTTGTAATAATTAGACACTTAATAATAATTTACAGATAAAATTATGATGAACACTATACAAATATTAAATGGTACAACAATCTTCAGTAAAATTATAATTTGTCTTCAGTGTCTGGCATTTAGGTCAAAATAATAAATTATAAATGTTAATAGGATAAACTGTATATAAAATTAAATAAAAATGTCATAAAACTCAATTTTGATGTACCTGGATAACATTAGGACATGGATCATCTTTTAAAAATTCAATATCATTTGTAAGAGTTTGATGCCAAACATCTGAAAGACTATTTGGACTCAGTCTAGTCATATGCAATAAAAGTACACATGTTCTTTCTCTCACTGATGGATCTTCATTATTTCTAAGCAATTTATGAAGTTCAACATTCGTAATCCTACCTATAAGACAACATTATATTTAAATTATAAAATTGTAATGATATAATTTTAATAATATGTATTATACTTTACCTTCTAAATGTTTTCCAATAATAATGTCTTGCACCAAACTAATGTTTTGTGGTAAATAAATTAAAGTTAATATTAATACTGCAAGTGTATTTGTCACCAAATCTGTATTTCCGTGACTCAGTAATAAACACTTTTGTAAAAGTGGTACAATTTTTAAAAAAACAACACTATCGATAAACTGTTTTAGACATTCAACAGGTTTATCTAAAGATAAACCTTCCACTAAAAGAAGCACTGATTCCAAGCTTGTTAATTCTAGTAAACCTAATGTATCAGGAGGTGCAGGTGATACACAATTACGAGCAGGTGACGTGGAAGCATTAGAAAACGCTTGCATCAAACACGAGATGACATTAGTTTCTATATAAATCTACAATAAATAAAAAATAATATTACTTAAAATACATAAAGCACTTCATTGATACATAAATAAATATATAATGTTATAATTAAAAATACTTTGGTTATTGAATCTTTCTCAGTTTGTTGAATATTTGATGAAACAAAAGGAATTGCTAGAAGTGTAACAACATAATGTAATAATTTGGAAGACACTGTGGTGGTTTTTAAAGACGACAATACAAATAAAATAAAACTTTTTTGATTCATGGATTGTAAATTTCCAGATAGAACCTGAAAAAAAAATGTCATATGGTAAACAAATATTAATATATATATATATCCAAATATTCTATTTTATCTCTATGAATTGATGCATTTCAAAAACAAAATTAGAAGTGTATTGAAATCTCTATCAATTATTATGACTGTTGTTTTTTGCTATAATTTTTTTTAATAACCAAATTTTTAAAATAATTACTACATTAGTATTCAATATTTTTTTCCATAGGCCTATGAACAGTAATTTTTTCTTGAAAAGTGCATAGATATTAAGGAAGAATGGCTTAATTTAACTATGTATAGATTTCAATACAAGCAAAATCAATTTTAAAAAGAAACAGACCTACTTCACACAATAGGTGGGCCATTGTTGTACGTGAGAAGTTGGGCAGGTAGAGGGAAATTTAATGTAAATCTGTAAGCAATGATTAATTTTTGCTAATAAAAACGATTCTGAGCAGAGTTTCTTTATACATGTTTAATGTTTATCATTAAAACATCTAATTATTAATCAAGACAACATGGGTATAGTCAAAAACATAGACAAGTACATAATAGAAATTCAAGTTTTACCTCCGATGCACTTTGTCGTAAAATTGCAATCCATTCTTCGCTCATAAAATCATTATTATTGGTATTATTACTAGTAGAGTTTGTTTGGTCCGAAACAATATCCAACTCCTGACATGTTTCAGAACACCAGCTTGCATGACTAGAACGGAGGTCTTCCTCAGTTCTACACAACAATTAATATATATATATAATCTTTTTATATTATAATTTGACTATGTAGTATATAATTACAAAGAATTATTACGTGTCTTCTATAGACGTCACATCATGACTGGTTGAAGAATCAGTTGTCGCATCATCCTCATTTATTTTCATTGAGATTAATGGAGATACAAGGTCATCTAATTCAGAAGAAAAATCACCATCTTGTTGATTTACCACATTTACTTGATTTCTTATAAATTCATGTTCTAATAGACCAGGCCATGTTAATCTTTCTAATGGATTTTTTTTTAATAGTTGCTTTAAAAAGTTTTGACAAACAGGTGATACAGTATTTGGCCAAACAATTGGCTGATCTTTCATCATTTGGACTAAATGCATCAAACATTTTGTATCAAATGGTGGTTTTCCACAAAGTAAATGATATGCTATACACCCTAAAGACCTAAATTAATTTTGTTATCAATGAGTTAATCAAAATATGTATAATTTTTTTTTAAATGTAAACTATTTTATTGATCGTGTAATTTTTACCATAAATCTGCATTGTGGTTGTATGTTGGAGGTATAACAGGGGAATTCAATACTTCAGGTGCCATATAAAGGGGCGTTCCCTTAAGTGACGCTTGAGTTAAAACTTGTGTACCAGTCAACATAAACCTTGCTAATCCAAAATCGCACAATTTTGCAACATCATTATGGTCCAATAAAATATTTGGTGGTTTTAAATCCCTAAATATCAAAATAATTAAATATAATATACTAATTATAGTTTTTATTTTATGTATTTACCTGTGTAAAATATTTTTACGGTGTAAATAATTTAAAGCTGATACAAGATGACATATAATAATCTGTGTTCTTTGTTCACTCAATATACCTTCAGTTTCTATAATTTCTTTAAGGGATCTGGGTACAAACTCCATAACTAAAGCAATCTGTTACACAAATAGTAAATAACTAAAACTTAATAAACTTAAAGTTAAACTGATAAAATGAATACTTTACCCCACTGTTGTTCCCAAATGACTCTAGCATTCTAACAATGTTTGGATGATGTAATTTCTGTTGAATTTCAACTTCTTGTTGTAATGTTTTTAACTCATCAAGCTAAAACAAATTACACGGCTAGATAACATTACATAAAAGAAACAATTATCTGTCAAATCAATTTCAATACCTTGAAAATAAATTTAAAAGCAACTACTGTGTTACTTTTTGTATGTATTGCTTTAAAAACTTTTCCAAAAGATCCTTCACCAATCTTGTCACCTAGTTGGTAATTATGAAAATGTGCCAATGAAGCTAGTTGGTCTTCAGGCACCATCTGTGGATATTTCATTTCGTCTGTCATATATGAATCCCGTCGCCAAAAGTTTCCATTCATGTTTATTGTTCGTTCACCATTGTGTTTACACCGGACCATATTATCATATTCTATGTTATCATGTTTATTACATTGTTGTTATTTTGTGATCATATACGAAATCATGGTTATAATCATGGTCGGTTATTGTCATCAAACGCAAAATGTACATACCCGCCGGACGAGAGCAGCAGAGGTTTTTAGCAATACCACAGATATGTAAAACAATATTAAATATGTTAAATATATTGTACATATCTGTGAGCAATATCGAGTTACTATCATGAATATATGGCCGTGATAATATAATTCTTTGATAATAGAATGTTTATTGTTTCGATATCAATTATCATATCGAATTTTTTGTAGTTTGTAGTTTATCAAATACGAATAAGAATACGAATGTAGTAGGTACCACTACTCTCCCTCGACTCAAAATTAAAAATCGAATATCTTGTCAACGGATTGACGGAAATTAAAAATGTAAACACCGACATTTATTTTAACTACTACTCTCCATCTAATTATGGAATTTTTAACATAGGTCGCCATTAAAAAATCAAAAGTAGATGGTACTTTCACCCCCGAAAATTGGGGTGACAAAATATAACATAAATTTAAAATTGCAGAGCTGCTCGTTTCTACAATTTTCTATTGAACAAATGTCGAATAAAATTAATACTTTCCGAAATAATGATTGTCTTATGGTAGATTTATCACCCTGTATATGTTGACAAAGCAACACTATCAACTGAACTTCGCTCAGAATCGTTTGTTCGTTAGCAACGGTCAATCGTAGTTGCTTACATGCATAAATTAAATTACCTATAACAGTGGCTGCACCCGTCGCCATTATCCTAGGACAGCTTTATTTTTTGTACACGTTTAAAGTTCAACATTTTACTGGAAATCGTGTAAACCACAGCATTTAAAAACATCAGTATACCATTGATTATGGAATAATAATAATACGTTAGTACAACCGAATTTCGCTTAAAATTGTTTTTTTTTTTTTTTTAATGTATATTGTACATTAGTTGGGAACATAATACGATTAAATTATTAAACGCACCTAATTTGTTTTATTAATAAAAATGTGTCACAAACCCAAAATTACAGTGTTTTTTTTTTTCTAATAGTTTTAATAATAATATTGGGCACGCGCTTCACTCCTACCCAAAAATAAAACGGATAAATGCTTATTACGACACGATACACGCGCGTATGTTACGACGCATAAATTATATTTTTAACTCTTATAACATGTTTAATTATATGGTGCCACCGACTTCGTTTTTCTATCGTTTTTATTCGTTGTTTTTTATGTATTTCCCCCTCCCCACCCCCACCCGGTCGGATGTTATGGCCACAACGAAACGATCTGACGTTACGCACACCGCGTTTACATTTTCAAACCCCGGGCGTTTGGAAAACGGCGATAAACCGTTTCGAAAACGTTTTTTATTACCTGGCGCACGAGTAATAATATTAACGATACGCGGTGCTCGGGTTATTGGTTTACGGTGTTCGTTTCTCGCGGGGCCGTTCGTCGTCCCCGCGGCGTAATGCGGCTGTTTCCATGCCAAACACGGTTCAACGGGTATGTTGATTTTATTCCAAACATCCAGTGCCGCGGCCGTCGAGTGTCGGGCCATTTAGCGAAAAACGCTATCTATTTTTGAGAATTCAAAACGGGATAATCAGCGGCGCAACCGTCCCGCGTGTCGCCTTTTTGCGAATTTTATCATGAGCCCCCTAGCCCCCAAAATTAAGTCCGCATCGAGTACGCGCCAAGTGTACGCTGCAACTAATGTAAATACGCAGTGAACGTCGACCAATATAATGGGGGCTTCGGCCCACCCCTTCCCCCACAGAGACATTCGTGCAACGACGCGGCGCCGGGCAACGCGCTCTGGTACGCGTGCCTTACTGGTGAACGCACCACTGAAAAACGTGCTACGGGTAGGCTGTGGCCTACCTATTGTTATTAGCCGTCCGCCTTTCAAAAAGAGCTGTCGACCTTCTCGCCGTTTTCAATTACAACTGTCTTGGGCCGTTCTATTCGTGGAAGTGAAACTAAAGGTCGTTAAACACACTGTAGGAATACCGAATAACTGCGCTATTTTGCGCGCTTTTACTGTCACGAGACAGCGGTAAATAAAACTCCATGTAAAACCCAAAAACGACTTATACAAATTGTACAAGTAGTTGTTCCATAAACGCTAATTATCAAAATAATGTCATCGAGTTACCGTGTTTCGCGTGATTTGTAATAATTTCTCATACTCGTTGTACTCTATAGTTGAATACAAATTTTGAACAATTAACGAGAACAATTATGAATTCTGATACTTAAAATATACGTAAAAAATAAAATTACCTATTGCAAATTTAACCAATCATTAATTTATAGGTACTATAATTATTTAGCCAACTCAAATGCGCCACCCAACTTTGCTAGCCGTGGCAAACGTCCATTACGTTTGTTAACGACGCTAAAATAGTAAATACCTTCGGTAAACGGATAAAGTACAAATTCAAAATTAAATTTACCATCGAATCTTTATTATCTAACCTAATCGTCATATCACATAGGAAAATGATTGAAAATCAATAATCTGAAATCGTTTTTTAAATTAATTTTACGCATTAGAAAATATTCTCTACGGCGGTCGAATATAAATATTAATTTATTAATTATTATGATGCCAAAACACATAAAATCAAGGCCGTCCCTAGGGTAGAGAATAGGTTCCAAGCCTGGGCCTTGAGCCAGAAAAAAAATTTGATTAATTTGAATTAAAATATTATAAAAACATGAATATTTTAAATATGTGTAGTAAATAAATAAGTGAATATTTTTAGTATACTTTTTAAATGCACATTTTTTTTTATTCCGCTCATTGAACTCATTTAAGGACGACCCTGCACTAAATTATTCGCTATTGGCAGTGGGTAAAACTTCGAAAGGGATTATATTTACCGAAAATTGAACTCACTAAACTTAACTTCCATGAAACCCAGTTTAATACAATTTATTAACCACAAGTATATTTCATAATTATACAAGTAATTTATAAGGAAGGTATACGTTTAATAAAATATTAGAAAACCAAATTAACAATGACTATAAGAGTAAATTACCGACAAATTTTTAAATTTTGCAGTTACAAGTTAAAGATCAATTTCCTACTACATGACTATACTCCGATACTTAAACCACATTAATTATAGATAATTTAACTGACCGTAGATCTAAGACTGTCATTTCCTTTTTAAATAAGCTACTTACTAGTAAGATCGACAGCCTCGTTTTTATTATCAAAATTTAATTTTAAGTCCCGTTTATATCTCTGATCATTTTCTCAATTTCATATTCCAACTTGTACCACTAAATATGAACGAAACATTCCCCTATTTCGTCTTATTTGTACATAAAAATATTCATTAAAAACAGGGATGAGCAACTGGCGGCCCGCGTACCATTTTTCACTGGCCCATGCTAGATTTTCAAGTTAATTAATAAATACCACATGTATAAATAATTAAGTGTGAAAAATAAATGTCAATTTTAAATTTTAAATTTGATTGACCTTTTTTTTGACTTCTTCTTTTTGGCCCCCTAAATTTTACAGTTCTAAAATTTGGCCCTCTAGTAACATTGAGATTTGAGTTGTCCATCCGTGATTTATATTATAATCACTGACAAAACCGTAATAAAGGTATATCTTCGCAGTTAACATAGTTCTGGTAATTTCCACAAGGTAGCTCATAATTGCTTTCAATAGCGAAAAGATATAAACAGAGGCGTATCCAGGGGGGGCTAAGGAGTATAGGCCCTCCGTATTGACCGTGTTTATGTTAACCAACAGTCGTTAATACTTACTAAATACATTATAATATATTACCAAATTAATGAATTTAAATAACTGTTGTCTATTTTAACAATATTTTTAATATGTTCACAATCAACAAATTTTAACTAATTATAATAAATGATGATAATAAATATTATTAAAATGATGATGTTTTTTTTTTACAAATGATGTATTGCATAATCTATTTAAAACATAATTTTACCAAAAAGTCTAAGTAAAGAGAATTTTTTAATGGAGATTTTATTTTAGTGGAATTTAGCCCCCTCGCCATAAAAAGTTCCTGGTTACGCCACTGGATATAATAATTTCAGCTATTGCGAGTTATTTCGAAAAACCGAATTTACTCGACATTTATCGCGTTTATTTATTTTATTTATTTATTTTTTGTTATTCTCTTAATTGTCTTGTATAAATGGTAAATTGCCAAATAAAATATAATTAACTATATATTTTGCGAGATAAAAATTCGTTTGCGTCATACTTTTCATTTTACTATCGTAGAATACATATGTTGCAAAGCATATAAGCAATTTATTGTTTTCACTTTTCGTTCAATATCATTATTATAACAACAACTGCGCAACTCCGATATATTCGACATTTTAACATATAAATAAATGTAACTGTATCATAGTATCGAAAAATATTGTCAAAAATGCTGAGTTACCTATCGTTGGTTTATTTCTTGAACTATAAAATAATTATAATAATGCCTGACAATTAAAAATATTAAAATTAAGAAAAAAAATCGACTTTTGTTTAATACGTAAATTTTGTGTAATTCTGGTAAACCGAGGTAGGTCGTAAGTATTTTTTTGTGAACCGGGCCATTTTAAAGTGAAATTAATTTTAGAAATGATACATCGAGCTATTTTATTATTTAATGCGTAAAACTTTTTGGAACACAGTATTATACTATAATACAAATAATAAATTAATTTCAACGCAGTTTACTTTTCTGATTTAAAATGTGTAGGTAGGTACCTACTCGAACAATTTAGCATCATTTTTTTTTTTCAGATACGATTACGCTATATTACGATAATTTTGCGGCTCTTTTTCGAATTATTTAACTCAAAAAACCAAAGAAGGTTATTAAAATTAATTATTTTTATTTTCGATATGAGATTATTTTTTTATGAATTATACGTATTCGATATTTATATCAAAAAATTAGAATTATCAAATAACGTTATGACGTAGTATGTTCAATGTTAACAGTCATTGAAGTCACAATGTAAAATATGTCAGGCCGTAAGTGACTTAAGATTAATATTAAGCTATGTCACTAATTTTTCATCTATATACGATGCCATCATGGGCACCCATTGGGGGGAGGGTAAGAGAAGGACATGTCCCCCCAAGAAATAATAAATTATCCCATAACAAAAAAAAAAAAAAAATGATGTATGCTTTGAATCCATTAAAATAAATGTTATTAATTATTATATTATTCTTTATATCGATGATGTTAACCATAGACTTTTGCTTATTACTTTATCGGTGAACTTTATAATGTGCGTCTATGGCAGTCGGACGTGTCTAGCATAGCTAATTGAATTTTTATATTATCTATATGCCCTATGATAACAATAATAGTGATTTTTACATTTTATAGGTGAATGAAACTATGAAATTAGGTATTTACGAGTATTTATTAGGTATTATTTAAAAGTGTATTATCCATTCACATATTGTGTTTAGTCTTCAGTGTTCATTTATTTATTGCCTATTATATTATTTTCTATAATACTGTTATTGAGATGAGTAAATTGAGGAAATATATATTTACTCCAAAGTATCAAAAGCCGGAAACTTCGTCTTTATATAAACTATAAAGGTATAAATTAGGGTATAAAAAGTATAAAAGGCAGGCATAAATTATAATTATTTATTAAATATTGGTTATTTAATATTATAATATAGTATATTCTTTTACTTGTAATTTTTTATACAAATGTATAATTTAAACTATAAATAGTAGAATTTTATGTCTTGATTTCAGCATTTAACAGTTTTTTTTAAAACTAATATTTACATAATTATAAACCTTTACTTCCCCATTCCTTTACAAAAAATACCAACCCTGTATTTATATTCTATAAATAGATTTTGGAATCCAATTACATTTTATCCTCCATCTGAATATTACCCTGTGGGCACCCTAGCAGGAAGCCACTGTTATCGTTTTGGCATGATCGAGTTAGGAGTAGTTTGAATTGTACACCATTCCACGTCCTCCTTTTTTAAATATGTAATAGGTCCTGGTATTTATACATAAATATGTATAGTTATTTTATTAATAATACAAATATTTAAAAACAAATTTTTTTTTTTTTATTTTCTCAAATAAAATACTGCCGAGCGGAAAATTCGCATCGTTTTAACGTAATATGCGGGCCTTCTTACTAACCGAAAAAGCGTTTACACAGAGAGGGAAAAAGCCATACGTAATCGAGTAAAACTTCGTACTTCGTTACGCCGTAGGAATCTAAAGTAAAGCCGTTGCAGTAATATAATCATCAATAATAATACATACCTACCTATCCTATACCTGTTTGCGTACTGCGCACGAGATACGAATCGCTTATCTCGGGGTTAAAAGGGTTAACGTCTTTGTCGTCATCTCGCGTTGTCGTAACGCGTATACTTACCTACGCGCGGTGTGATAACGCATTATCGGCGTGCGCGTTATCGGACTAAACGTGTTCAGGGAGGGGTGCAGGGGGACGGGCAAAAAACTAATTTGAAGCGATAAAAACGTCATTAGGTAAAAAAAAAAAAAAAACAACGTATCGCGAACGAGTTTAGTTAAAGAGAACGTTTGCACAGTATAGCAGTTATCGGATACAGGCGAACAATATCCTTTCGATATATTACACTATTACACACTGTCGAAGCCGGTTGTAAGGCGTATAATAAGTATAATGAAATTGTACGCTCGCTCGACCGTGGTCCGTACCGTGTACAGGGTGTTCCACACGAGTGTCGAGCGACGGGAACGCGTATAGTCGGCGACGTACCCAGAGGACGGAGCCAAAAAACCAAACTTTATAAAGTTTTCCCCCTATAACTTCAAAGCGAAGTTCGTCCGATTTTACATTGTTATTGTACACGCGATAACACGGTAATTCTGAAAAAAAAAGGACAAATCTAAACTAGTATTATGCAAATATTTTTGATGTAATATAATTACGGGTCCTCGCACAGATGTCGAAGAAACAGATTAAAAACAATGCGCAAACTAGTTTTTTTTTAATTTGAAAAAACAACATAGACAATATAGAATCCATACCGAGTATAGAGTGAAAATTCAACAAAATACTTGACAAAAGTCAAACGGTGTTGCTGGTGATTTTTAAAACATTGTCCACACTGTACGTTCGGCAATGTTCATCGAAACAACAAAATTTACCTTAAGTAGCTCTTGGGGAGGGGGCATGCGGTGCCCATGCCCAGGACTTCACGCATTGTATGTGCCTCGCACTATTGGAAGTCAAGCTGTTTTTTGAACTATGAATTGCAGAAAAAATGTAACGATCAGGGCTCGGATTTTATGTGACGCTTGCTAATTATTATAGGACCCAGATAAAAAAAAAAAAAAAAAATAGTTGAGTGAGCTACACGTTTGTTTTATATACCAGTGACTCGAAATATGGAATTGTATATTGTAATTTTTTGAATATTGGAAATATTTTTCTTGATTATTTTTTTAAGATTTTTAGTGTTATTTTTCGAGTTTTAGTGTTATGCATCTGTTACTAATATGCATAATATAATGATTTATTAAATGTTTTCATAAATTTCGTTAGTAGAAGAAATTTTTCATTGGTGTGAACAGGCGCGTACTGGCCGGCCGGGTTACTCGAAATTCCCGCTGGGCCTTTCTCATATAAGCCCTTGATTTATACACGTTTTCCCACTTCTATTTCCTTAAATTACCTACATTGTAATTTTGTGATTTCTTAGGTTAGGTAGGCTGAACAGGCTGGCACTTGAAGAATGTTAATGATTTATGTTTATAAGTGGATCTTATTTAATAACTTCCTGGTATAAAAATAGAACCCATGCGCTTTTATGCGAATCCATAAGAAAAATTCTCACATTTTCATTTCACATTACAATTTATTTTTTAGCAGCAGGCGTCTATCAAACAGTATATACATTTAGAACTTCTCATTGGCTGTATTTATATTTTTTTTTTTGTCTAGAATATTCTGTTGTATTTTAAGTTGTTTTAACAAAAAAAGTAAATCGATTTTTTTTTTTTTTTTCATGTTTTTACAACATATTTCAGTAACTTTTGATTCTGTAAAGCCCTACAGCTAATGGGATTAATCGTGATGCGTAGCGCTTTAGTTCACGAGTGAGCCGATTATTTTTAGCGAATTTAATGCATTGAATCTGCGACACACCGATTCAGTGACTCACCAATTCAATGCATCATCACCAAGTACCAACACACTGTACATGAATCACGAGCGAGTGTGGTGACACTTTTGTTTTTCCGTGTACCGGGGGACAACTGAACCAAACCTGTGTTCGGGTTGACTCAGTCAAGTCACTACTTCTAAATCCGAAATGATCGTCTTATCAATCGGTATGTTCAGTGTAACACTGTTGTTCCCAGAAACCCGTCCGGCTATCAATATTACAAACGCAATCACGGTTTAATTTTATGGACGGTTTATTTTATAATCGCCAATAGATTTGATTCGTTCATTAACATTTTAGGTTCAAATCGCGACTGGTAATATGATTTGACTTCTCAATAGCGGGAGTTGACTCGATGAATGTTGAAGCGAATTAAAGCGGATCGAATTGAGTCAATTGAGCGAGTCAAAGCGAGTCGCAATAATCATCTCTCTAACGATTAAAAAGGCCGGTGGGTACACGTGCATTTGTTGTTTCCGTCTAATAATGGCGCGATGTGGTTAAAACACGGACTACACAGAACTCGTTTGATTTTTGATTTTAGAGTAAAAACACCTATTGTAAAATCTAAAGAGAACGATATTCCGGAGGGCAAAACGTTTGAGTTTTTTTTTTTCAATTTTCTTCTCGAAAACTATAGATAGAAAAAAAAAAAAAAAAAAAAAAAAAAACGATTTTTTCGAATGACGTTTCGATTCGGCAGTGGCGGGTCGCGGACTCCCCGGAATCACGGCGTACTGCGGCGTAGTCGGCGGCGGCGGCGGCGGCGGCGGCGGCGGCCGTATCGGCGGCGTACTCGCGAACGGCCCCGCGCAAAGTCGTCATTCTCGTGTTGCCGCGCGCTTTGGTCGGTCATCGCCGTTCGCATCCGCGCGTCGCGTTTATTTTCGTCCGGAAAACGTCCGTCTTATCGCCCACCCGAAACCAGCACGGTGTAGGTCGCGCGCAGTTTTCCACCGTCCCGTCGACAGCACGGGCGCACGAATTCCGTTTTCCCGCCGTTTCTTTCGGGCGCCCCGTTTTCCCGGCGGGCAAAGCGAGAAAAATCCCCTCCCACCGGCTCGCGGGGTTTTTTTTTATTTTTTTTTTTTTGCCGCGCATAGGCGTATTTATTTATACCGCCGCCCCGGCGTAGGTACCGAACGACGCGAAAAACGCGGTCAGGTACGTGCGCGCGCCAGCCGACAACCGACCGATCGCGTCGCCCAGCAGTCCGCAGTCGTTGTGCAACGGATCCGACCGACCCCGGCCAACGTCACACGTTCGCGCACACCCGCGGTGTCCGGTGACAGACGCACAGCAGTTTTACGCGTACCGCAGTGTTGTTGTCGCGCCAGCGCTGGAACGTTTGAAAAACGATACGTCCGACCACGACGATAATATGACGTCTCCGGGTGAGTACAGCGAGGAAAAAAAAAATTAATTAAATAAATAAATATTTTTATTGTTATTATTGTACGCCTCGGTTACGCCGCGCACGCCGGTATAAATATCGCGCGGTACATCAGCCGCCGTCCCGTTTCCCACCGGACGCGGCCACCTGTACGGGCGGCGGTAATAATAACAGTCGGGCCGCGACGCCACCGGACGAGGCGCGTTTTCTTCTCGCGCGGCCCGTTCGGTTTCTCCCCCTCCGACCCCTCGCCCCCGGACGGGCGAATCGCCGACCAAAGGTCCGGTCAGGTTGGGTTAAGGTCCGACAAGACCGGACGACCGGTCTACGGTCTTTTTTTTTTTTTTTCACGTCATTCCCGACTTCCGACACGCGACAATAGCGTGCCCGCGCAGTGCGAGTTACGGTAACGAGACATTTACCCGCGAGTTTTACACCTACCCAGCGAGTTTCGAGCTCGTCGGACATTGCCATCAATATGTCTTTCGAAAATGCCGCTCGCACCCGCACTACCGTGGTCTATCCGCGGCGGCATTATATCGAACACGTATTTTCCGTATACTTGAACCCGCCGCGCGCGGTGAAGTTCACTATCCCGTCGGCAAGTACCTGGCAAGACCTGGTTCGCGTTGTTATTGCTGAAAACTGAAATTGAACGCGACGAAATACCTGTGATAGAAAAAAAAAAATGTTCAGTGTTCCCGATAGTTTTATAGTCTATAACGCACTGTGAAACGATTTGTCCACCATTTTTGTGGCTGCCAATTTTTAATGCCGACGAATGACCGTCTAGCATCCCTCCCGCCCCAGTTGTTGCGCCCGCGGGCCCGACGGGCGAATATATTGTGACGTCGGGAGAATCCGACTCCCTGCAGTCACGTTCGCCCCGGTGTCGGGGATTCGGAGGGGGGGGGGCGGGTCTGGTCGGGTTACCGTACGGCGACGATGGCAACGGCGTTGCGGTTATTTCAATGGATCGATTTGTTACGCGAACGATTTGTTCGCGGTAATTATTATTTTGATCCGCGCCATACCGTCGGGACATTCCCGATCTCGATTTAATACCCGGCGTACGCACGGCCAGCACGAGTACCGTGCACCGTCGCCGCCGCCGCCGCCGCCGCCACGTCGTCGTCTCGGTCAAACGCGGCTATTTTCGGTCTGCCCGGAAACACAACATTGCCCGCCGCCGACCGGCCGAACGGGATTACCCGCGGCGTCCGCGATAACGTAATATTTTTAACCGAACCGCGTATTATGCGGAATCCCATTTGTGAACGTCAATAATCGGCGAACAACAATTATCCGGATCGGGAACGCGCGCCGACCGACCGACAACGTTGTTCGTTTTGCGCGACATTCCATTTTTCTATCGTTTCCACGCCTTCGGAGATTTGACGCGGATCATCGAACCCGTTTGAAGGAACAGGAAAAAAAAAAAAAAAAATGTAAAACGAATGTCGATTTTACCCACTAGAGATGTTGATGATCATTTCGCCCGACCTGGTTAGAATATTATGTTCGTTACAAGTGTCGTAAAAATTCGTAATTTCACCGTTCGGGACATTGTCCCGTAAACTAACCACGTACGTTCCGTTATAATAATATCGGCAGTTTGCTCGATATTTTATTGCGTCGGTATAGTACAAATATAATCCAGTTTTTGTTTTCGTCGATGAGAAAGTGTCTCGAACCTAACGTCAGCGACCGTTAAGTTTCTCGACTATAGTATATTATAAACTGGTAATATTTGGTCTTCGGGAGTTGCAGGTACGGCGGGGTTATTGTCAGGGTCTGATTAACCAATCGGAAGGCCAGAGGAGGGTCAATACCCTGTTATTATTGTGTACACCGGATCCCAGAATACTACGGTTTTCCCAATATGATTACCGAGGCTTTACTGCGGGATTACCAAAGATTTTCACGGTCCCCGAACATTATGTACCCCGATTTACGATTTATCCTCTGGAAAAGGCTGCTACCCAGGCAGGGCTCCGTGAAATGGGGGAGGGGGCACAATAAAAAAAATTTGTCTTTTAATCGATTTATTTCGAATTTGTATCTATACATAGCAGTGACCATCATGGGCGTAGCGAGATCTATTTATTATTTTTTTGAGGGGGTGTATGCAAAATTGTACAGAGAAAAGACCGACGAACCGTTCAATAAGAAGTAGGGGGCTTGTTTTTTTATTAGCCTCGGAGCGCCTTTTGGGTAAACCCGACTCTGTTTATTGTATTTTATCAACTCGCCGGAGATAAACCACGGAGATTAGAAATATGCTCTACGATCCCTCCTCCACATAACTGTTGTGATTTTCCGTGATTTTATTGTGATGCTGGAACTGTTAAAAACCACGGGTCTTTGAATTCGAATTTAATCCGGTATAGACAAAACCGTAAGCAAAGGAGTGGTTTAGTCCCTAAAATTCTGCCGATTCCTTCCGAGTACCGAGTACACGTAGTTTTAGATCCGGAGCGTAGCCGAGGAATCTATGGGCTTTATAATTTTTTTTTTCTTTATATATGTTAATAACTTTTCTACCAGAAATCTTGCTTAGTATAGTACCTTTTCTTAAAGGAAATTTTATCTGGATGATACTTTAGAGAGGTCATTTTTTTGATTTTCCGAGCGGTTTTCATAATAATTGGGGAAAAACGTAGGAAAATTTACGTAAATGTATAAGAGAAACTACGCTCCGAATCGTTTTTCGTCAGCGATGTTTTATCGTTGCGTACAGATATAAATTAAATTCCCATTTATATAATATTGCCTTCCCAACTTCTCACCTACAACATTGGTCCACTCAACGCGCGAAGTATGTCCGTCCTTTTTCTTTTGTACCTAAGATTATTCAGAAATTAACAAAATTATAAAACCGATGTACGCATTCGATACAATTGGATCAACAGGGACGCGGTTTTTTTTAAAATCTATTTTTAGATTACCGTCCCCGCCACTCGGCTTGATTATAAATAATAAATAAACAACGGGTACATAATATTTTTATTATACCTACACCGTGGGCAGGTGCTTTAAATCGTATCAAAAATAAACGTCGTCGTCCTATCAACTAACTATAGAATCTATTAAAATTTCCGTCGTAATTAATTCTCTCACAATATTAAACTAGATAGGTACTAGGAGGTCGCGCCCCCCAAAATACCCAATAAGCTTTTTTATAGTATCGACTAAATATATTATCCGCGTGTGTAATTAATGAGCAGAACAAATACAGATTACCTGCAGACAACAGATTAAAAATGTTTATAAAAAAAAAAATTGAAACTTAAACGTGTAGTCGCTTGTTTCAAGTGTCATGCCCTTTTGGCGTGCATCATCGCGCTGTTTTTTTGTTAGCAAAAACATACTTGCGTAGACCGAGTAAAACTCGCAAACAATTTTATCCGCAGAGTACCTACCGATTACAAATTTAGTAAAATGCTCGCAAAATTAAAATGTTTATGAAAAGCTCAAAATGGCTCAAATAATTTTAAACATTTACCACGTCTACAAAAGGCAAATATAAGTACTATCGCACGATTGATAGGCTATTGTTATAAGTGAGAAGTTGGGAGATAGAGGGATAGTTTAATGTATATCTATACGCCGCGATTAATCGTTGCCAACGAAAAACGATTCTGAGCGGAGTTCGGTTATACACGTTTTTAAAGGTCATATATAAATTACGATTTGAAAATAATTAATTTCCTACGTTTTCCCGTTTACTATGGAAACTCCTGGAAAAAAATTATCTTCCTAAAGTACCCCCCTCCCCTCCCCAGAAAATTTTCTCTCAGAAAAAGTGAAAATCTGAACAAAATGTCTGGTAGAAAAGTCGTTCATAGATGTGTTGTCTCCGTTATACAACCGCGAGATATAGCAAATGTTTGTTCAGCAGGGACAACATTGTACTTTTAGTTTTGATCTCAGAGTGAATTGACATCGTTGTTTTTTTTTTTTCGTTATTTTAATTTTTAAGCGACTTATAAGCGTTTTTTAATCGTGATATTCTACACGTCTGTATTCCACATAAAAATTAAAATAACGAAGAAAAAAAAACTGCGAGACGACACCGATAATGTTGATGTCATTGAGTTTGACAGTAGGTCAATTCACTCCGATTTCGAAACTAAAAGCACAAAGTTGTCCCTGCTGAACAAACATTTTTGGTGTATCTCGCGGCTGTATTACGAAGGAAACAACGGCGCACGCGGGTACGACGTCCTCTTCAAACTGAAATCGTTCGGTACAAACACCGAGGATTAAAATAACATTGTCTGTATTCTTTGTTCGTAATAATTATTATTGTCGATGGAATACAATATTATTCTTAACAGACGGCGGGTTCTCCCACGTGAATATTTAAAACGGTAGACACGTTCGTTTCGTTTTGAGCGAACGAGAATATTCGTGCGGGTATCGATAATTATTATATTCCATAACCAATCGTTAAAATTATCTCAAATATACCGGTGCTCATTATTAATGAATTTGTTTTTAGAATATCGGGAAATCGACAATCGCCGGTTTTGCGGGTGATTTTGATCTTATTTTACTTGTCTAAACTCCGATGTAAACCTCACGAGGCCGTCGTAATATGATCACATCTCGTTATGTGCACTATTTGTAATTAATCCAACCATTTTGTCTGGCCGCTATTTGTATAGTCTATTGTAATATTAGTTTAAATCGTTTTTAATCGAAAAATTCGAAATATTATGTTTAGGTCGTCTTCCGAAAATCGATAAAACGTTCCGAATAAATTAAATACAATTTAGGTAAATATTAGCCCGTGTGGGAACGGGAATTCAAGACTGATTGATTTTAAAATATTCAATAGTTGAGCGAAGAGGTACCTAATGAATCGTTAAATTCTCATAAAACGATTCTCCGTTGGTATTTTATGAATTAACACCGTATATTAATACCAATAATCACGTTTATTGCCCCGTTCGGGATCTGAATCACGAATGTTTATCGCGCCTTAGGTAACATTTGAATCGTAATTTTTTGTTTTTGTAATAAGTATCTAATTTCGAATTTGTTCACTACAATATTATATTCGATGTAATATAATATGATTAGTACCTACCTATGTGCATATGTGTATATCCGATATCGATAATTATTACTGTCGACTAAAAATTGATTGTTGATTACTATGTAAAATAGTAAATTGTGTGTATATATATAAAAAAATTATTCTGTTCGAATACGATTATTAACGTTGGTAAACTTTGATCTCGATAACGTTTACAAATAATTTAGAACGATTTTATGAACCAATATTATGATATATTATTTTTAAATATATAAAAATTTAGTATTTACCTGAAGGTCTTAAGATAAATTTATTATTTTTTTTCTTTAATGGCTCAAACGTCTTATCGTGTTATTTTTAGATTCAAAGTCAAATGTCGGAGCGTAATATTTTAATTGCATCTTTTAATTCCGATGTGTAACTTTAACGAATACATTTCGTTTCTAAAACGTAGATAACACAAAAAATGACCTATGTTGGCCCTTTACTCAAACAATATCGTGTATATTATATTTTGTAAGTCGTTATACTTATTACGTACAATTAGATTAAAAAATGTATTATTATTAAGTAAATCGGTAATAGGTAAAACATAAGACCCTCTCAACAGTAAAAAAATGTGATAAAACGTTTCAGTCAACAATCGAGAAAAATCATCCTGAAGTAGAAAGGACCCGCCGTTAAATTTAGTCGGGTTACTAAAAAAATTTCAAATTTTAAACCTAATTACATTGCCTGTCTTGGTCGTTTAAAATGAAAATAATTTCGTCACGCTGTTCTAATTTGTGCGTTTTATCATATTACTATATTTTATACTAATACATGCTTTTGCCATGGCTGATTACAAATCTTATATAATAGAAATATAATTATCCACAACTTTAACCGAGTGACGTATTTTAAAAATAATTTAAATTTAAATATAACGTTTAACGCGATTTTATCGATTAAAAACGAAATCCCCATAAAAAGTACGAGGTGAATTCAATAAATATATTAATTCACCTTTACTAGCCATTAGGTAATGCATGCAATTTAAATTACAAATAATTAATGCACTAAATTATTATGCACGTGTTCTTATGATAGACAAGAGTAAAATATTATAATCGTGATTATAGGTACATTACCTATATTGAAAGTTAACTAACGCATTGTCTAGACTGACTTTAAAACTGTTCACCTTTCTCACATTGTTATTCTGAAAATATTTAATTATTGAACCTATATTATGTGTTTTCATTATCTATAAAGATTTTAAATAAATCTAACCGTAAATTTAATTTTAATTTTGTTCAGCCATTACGGAATAATTTATTAAACATATACTTGTAATTATTATTTTTTTTTAATAGTTTTATTATAATTCAATTTGTAATTATTTTTGTTATTCAATGATTTTCCGACTAACACACGTGCAACATAGGCATTTGGACGCGTTTTCATTATAACGTACCGATTGTTCTAGTATAGGATAATTCTGAAAACAGATTTGAATTTTTCGTCAAGTCTACTTGGAATCAACTTTTCCATATGTTTGATTGTACTCCTGTAAACCGTAGAATAATAATAAAAAAAAAAAGGAATGTTTTAAAAAAACGGAATATTTCAATATTCTCATGCATGGGACAAAAAAAAAGATGGCAATTATAATATATTGCGAGGTATTTTATAGCAATAGATGATTTCGTTTCTTAGATTTTCAAAATGAGTTTTTTTCTGGGAACTATCAATAGCTTATGTATTTATGTACCTACAATAATTATTATTTATGAATTATAAAATAATAATAGAGAAGTATAATAGTTGCCAACATTACCTATTCATTTCATATCTCATTTTAGATAATCTTTTTCTATTCCATTTATCTACACGCTTATAATGCCTAATGCCTAATCGCTTGGTATTAATTTATTCAATTTGTATATACACATCAACATTTTCATATTTGCATCACATTTAATGGATTGCTGTTTTTAAATAAAAATTTGATATGCATTTAACATACAGAGATAAAAGTGCAAATTGAAAAAAGATTATTAAAAATATAGTCACCAAATATAAAATATAAATAAATATTACCGAAAACCATCATTGATATAGTAGTAACTATCTATAGTTTCATTTATGATAAAAATCATAATTAAAAAAAAAAAATTTTTAAACAATTCCGTAAATAAACAAATGCATTATAATATATTTCAAAATAATTAACTATAATTGATCAATTATTGTTTATTGTTCAACGGTAGATATTAGGTAGGTATAACTTACTTGCGAGTTCAATTAGGTACTTATACTTACAATATAAACTGATATACCTATAGAAATTCTATACACTTCATATTATAATTTTACAAAATCAATGACAAACCAATAATTGATATTGATGTAGGGGCTAAAATTAAAAATTAATAACATTGTTATGTAATAATTTCCCTGTCAATATATAGTTCATTATTTCTGAGTTTATATTGGTTTAGGTAAGTATTTATAACTAATAAATAATCAATAGGTATATTTAAAAAAAAAAAAAAGTTGTAAGTACCTATTTATTAAATAGAATTGTGAGATTTTGTTGGTTTCTTATTATTTTTTTTTTTTCTCTATGAATGACCATTAATGTATTTTAGCTACAGATATTTTATTTACGAGTTTAATACTTATGATTTATGACAATTAATAAACCTAGGTGCCCATCCATATAAATACAGAGTTGTGTATTTATCAGAAATGATGACGGATTAATATCTCTCGCGGTTGACCTTTTTTCATGTTTAATTCAATTATTATTCATTATCTGTAATATATTATTGATGATTACAGCTATAGGTATTATTATTTTTGAAACACGTATATACTGATTAGTGATAATGCAATGAAAATTATTAATGTCGATAATTTGTCTATTATCATATTACCAGAAGTAAAATAAATAATTATACTATCCAATAGGTAATAGTTCCAAAATAAAAATGCATCTAGAAATTTTTGCTTAACAATTTAGAATATCATGTCCTTTCGACAAGTCACTATATAAAATTTGTTAAGCTAAAATTAAATAAAGTAGCTAGGTACCTATGAAAAGTTTATTGGTAATCAAATTATAATCTTTTAGAAATTTAAATCTTTGATTCACTTTCAACACATTATTTTTAAGTAGATATGCACACATTTTTATAGATACACCTGGCTAATGAAATAAATTGTAATAACTTGATACATTGTTTTATAAAATTAATATTTGTTTAAACAATAATTGTAATTGGTTATTGAATTTTAAAATTTAGGTATATTTACAAAAAACATTTGTTATTGACCTGTGTAGTTCCAAAAAATGCTTCCACAATTCATGAAAACAGTATTTGTAATATTTTTCACACTTTCAAATATCTTAAAAATTGTTTGAAGCACAACCGACACAGGGTTTACTATTGTAGTACATACCCATTGAAATCCAATCATATAATAAATACACAATAAAACTCCAAATTTTATTATTTGATATAATGGTATGCGGTTAAATAAATATCTGAAAATTAGAAGAAAACAAACATTACATTGAAATTATTGTTTACAAAAGTTGTTAACACTATTGTTACCTATCTATCTATATATAATTATATAAAGTTATTTTAAAAAGATATTTTTTTACTTATGCAGGGTATAGCAGGACTATTTGACTTTTTTACATTGTAGTTACATGTAAAAATGTCAAATAGTCCAGTTACACTCTGGATAGTGATAAAATATCACTGATATAAATATTTTTAATTTTCATTTATAGATTTAATATGAAATTAAACAACATAAATACTTGTCTATGAAGTATTCTACAATTGTAAAAAGGCTATATGCTAACAATATTGAATGATCTCCCATACAATTGTTATACACACCAATTATCCGTGTAAATATATTAATTTCGAAAATAAGTATTAAAAGAGAAATAATCTCGGCCATACTTAGTTGTTAAAATGTCAGTAATTTAATATTTTATGTTAGTATACCAATGCATAATAAATGAAGAAATAGTAAACATTTATTATTAAAGTATTAAACAAACTGTCACTATGGATTTAATATAAATTTAAAAAAAAAAAACATGGGCTTGAGTGTATTACAATTATCATTTAAAAAAGTTTTGTTTGATTTAAGAGTTGTCATGGTGTTGATGTCAACATGATTTAGTCAAATATGTATAAAATAAAATAAAAGGCAATTCAACTTTTTAGAACTCTCTCCTTTCAACCTAATCTACTTTTAATTTTTTCCGAGGTTAAGTCATACCTATATTATATTATATATATATATAATTATTAACCTCATTATTTATTCATTCATTAATTGTAATTTTAACTGTTGTAACAGACATATTAATAAGTTTATAATTTATGTACCTACTTAATTCATGCTTTATCCGCATAAAGAGTTTTAAGAAAATTAATTATCATCCATATTGCAGATTTGTTGTGTTGTTTTATTATTTATGTTTACAAATTACTACAATGGAATGTTAATTTTTAATAATTTAATAAAATAAACTGCTTGTTATTTACTGGCCAATATAATATTTTTGGTCTGAAATGTTGAACATTTAAGTGAACAGATAGGTCCTAACAAGATCTATTGAAGACAGATTAAAAAATGTTTAATTTCATTATAGCATGTATATAAATAGAATGGTAGATAAATCGATAGAATTTAAATCAATTTGGATGTCACAGACCAAGCTCTATAAACTTTATTTTGTTATTAGTTGGGCTTTCATCATGGGCAACAATGTAAAATATTTTATTTAAGTACAACAAAAATGATTCTGACCTTTTATTATTAAGTTCTGTATAATATAATTATTATGCTCTCAATAGGTAATTTGTACACACTTGAACTTATAAAAAAACAATTGTGACTTACTAAAATTAATTTTATACCATTAAAAACAACATTTTACAGATATTGTATTAAATATTGTCTAGCTTTTTTACCGTACAAAAAAAAAATTGTGAAAACGTTTATAAAACAGCGCCAATATTTCAAGTTTATATATAAATAACACAAAAGGAGCCAAAAAATTTTGGAAATTCTAACATTTCTAGTAAATATATATACATGTACTTCAGTATTCTCAAAACATTCTTTACTATTTTTTCTTGCACATAACCATATAGTGTTAGGTACGTAGGTATCTATAGTGAATAACTACTAACTATTTTTATTTTGAATTCCCATGGTTTTTCATAACAAATTGAATGATATTTTGGATTTATGAAGTGAAGAATTAACATCGCAAATGATCGCAATGATGTGTGCCAAAAATTCAAATAATTTGTGCCTATTTAATCTTTTCTTAGCCACTGATTGTCCTGCTGCCAATATTATTTAATATATTAAACTTATTATACTTCAATATTTTTTAAAAAAAAACACTGTATTGGAAAATAACCCATAAAGGTTAAAAAATGGATTTTATGAATTCGGATGTTAAAGACTTGAATATATTTTATGTGTTTATATTAAATTTAGTATTGGATTAATTTAAAAATAATTCAAATTTTAAAATGCCATGTTTTTAAAAACATATGGTACTACAGTATAAAAATATCTTTTTAGCCCTAATAATAGAAAAATTAAGTATCTACCTAAAAAAAAATTCTAAAATTTCAAACTGATAAAAGCGATTTTTTAATAATGTTTAGGTATTAATGATTTTATTGCCTTAATCAACAACATTATGTTTATAAATTAAACGTCTTTAATATATTATTTTTAATTTCGTCTTTTGATATTCTATTTAATAATAAAATGTTCCTCTTCAACCAGTTAAATATAATTTGTGTATATTTATTGCCCAAGATAACATAAGTGTTTAAATATTTTTCAGGAAATGCATGGGTTACATTAGCCACAAACGATTCCTATTCTTTAGGAGCGTTAGTCCTGGCACATTCATTAAAAACGGTTAAAACGATACACAAGTTGGCGATATTAATTACACCTGGCGTTACTGAGTCGATGAGGTATGATATTGTTTACAGTCAAATATCAAAAAAAAAAAAAACTAAAGTTTTAGAGTTTTTTAAAGTTTTTTATAATGTTTTTATATTTATTTTAGACGACAAATTGAAGCTGTATTTGATGATGTTAAGGTGGTGGATGTATTAGATTCTAAGGATAAATCTCATTTGGCTCTCATGTGTCGCCCAGAATTAGGAGTGACTTTTACCAAGCTACATTGCTGGACTCTTACCAAATACGAAAAATGTGTGTTCCTCGATGCAGACACATTGGTAGGCATTTATTTTTTTTAAATTTTTTAGTTGCAATAATAATATAGGAAACTTTACTAGTTAGGTACCTACCATCTAAGGGCCGTTCTCACCAACATTTGATTTTTAAACAGAGTTTATAAGATAACCGACCAATTGTAGTCTGTTATCAGCCATAAATTTAGTTTAAAAATCAAATAAACGAAAGCGTTTATGTTTATGAGAACAGCCCCAATTGTGTTTTAATAAATTTCTAGATTAATAATTGAGTAGGTATATATTTTTGGAAAACCCAAATAAAACTATGCTTAATATTTAATAAATTATTACAAACTTTCAAATGCTATTTTCAACAAATTATTTAGTATAAAACTATAATATTTTAATTTTAGGTAGGGTCAATACTATGGCATTCATTTTTATTTTATTCGTTAATAGTGCAATTTTGTAATTTAATATTCCATATGGTTATTGCTGTATTAATTTGCATTAATGTATCTACTGCCCGGTATTAATTATTACAAAATATAGATAACATACAATTTTTTAGAGTAATGATTATGTTTAGTTACAAAAATGTGCACTTAACAGTTATTTATTTATTACCTAGTATTTTTAGACATGCCAGCATCAAAACACTTGAGATATTTCGTACTTGGGGTCGATCCAAATTATTTGAGATTTTCTATGCATTTACTTGATTATAAAATATAAGTTATTTAAAACACTTATATGCATTATTTATTCAAGTAGTCAATTATAATGCAAAATGAATGACTACTAACACACAGTTTATTATTTGAAATTAAAAAGGTACTATTCAGTATTCTCTAAATAAAAAATTAAAAAATTAAATGTATATTTTCTATAGGTATGATAATTAAAAATTATTTTATTAAGCCTAGTGTTTATATCATCAGAATGTTATAGCAGTGTTGAATGAATAAACTTTATTATATACAATTGTTTGCATTTTTTTGCTATTTAAAATTGAATTCAATAAAATAAATAAACTTGTATAATATGTTCATTGTTTATATTGTATACTCCAACTAGTGTTCTCATATAAATTTATTTTAAAAATATGAGACAATAACTGCATAAATATGTTATATATTATACAATTGTATGTCTACCTAGGTACGTTTAAAAATGTGCACCACTTGTTTGAGTTTTGACAGGCTTCATTTATTATATTAAACAATAAATTGGTTTTCAATAACACTAAGATCAGTGAAGTAAAATAAAAAAATAAAATATTAGTACTGTTATAATTTAAAAAATAAATTAATGTCACCTATTAGGTATTAATTGAAATTTAAGTTACGGTACAAAAGAAAAATTTCTCAAAGTTAATTATTGTGATGTTAAATTTGATTACTGAGTAAGGTTTCTAATTAGACTTTGTTCGGAATAATAATAAGAAATTAATGTATCATTTACATTATCCGTTATATTTTATGAATCAAATTTATCTATTAAAGGTATTACAAAACTGTGATGAACTTTTTGATCATGAAGAATTATCAGCTGCTCCTGATCCTGGATGGCCAGATTGCTTTAATTCTGGTGTGTTTGTGTACAAACCATCTGAAAATACGTTTGCTCAGTTATTAGAATTTGCAAGAACTAGAGGATCATTTGATGGTAAAAAAAAAAAAACTAATATAAATTATTGTATTGATGAATTGCTCGTATTTGTTTTCTTTTTTCTTAGGAGGTGACCAAGGATTATTAAACATGTTTTTCAAAGAATGGGCATACAAAGATATTACAAAACATTTATCATTCACCTACAATGTAGTGTGGTCTTCAACATACTCATATTTACCAGCATTGAAACAGTGAGATATAATTATAGTTTAATTGTACACAATTTAATTTTAATACTGTCATTAGGTTTGGCCAAAATATGAAGATCATTCATTTTATAGCCTCCAGTAAACCTTGGTTACAATCATTTAATACAGAAACTAGACTTGTGACGGCAACTAGTGCAGGAGTTGGATTACAAGCACTATTACAATTCTGGTGGGATTTATTTTGTCAGCATGTACACCCTGGACTTTCCACTGAAATGGTATACAATCAATTATTTAAAAGGGCTATTTCAAGGTTTACCTTTTTATATTGGAATCAACAAATTTTATGTTTTTTAAACCATTGTTCTGTTTGCTTAAACTAACTTGTGTTGTATAAAGCTCATCTAGAAATGTTAAAAGATCCTGAAGTTCAACATCAAAATGGTATGTAAAGTGATTTAACGCTTTACTAAATATTAGTCTTAACAATTATTTATAAACGTCACACACACACACATACTCATCCTTAACTGCTGCTGGGGCTTCTGTCAGTTATTAATTGTGGGTCGATTGGCTTTTTGCTTGCACTCTTTTAGACATACGTGGTGTTTTCTTTATGATTTATTTTTCACAATGTTCTTCTATATTTTACACAAATAACTTGCACCGTTTTGTTTTGTTTTTGCTTTTTTACACAGATAGAAAGTCGCCTCAGTAGCCGTTATTCCAATGATTTCTATTCCGAAATTCCTACTTATAATAATTCGCCTTGTAATGATTATAATCCAAATAATAATTATACTCCTATAAATTATACTTCAAATAACTACACTCCTATAAATTATACTTCAAATAATTACACTCCTAATAATAATTATTATACTCCTGTTAACGAACCTTCAAAAGACGATCATTATAATTTTATTGACCCTTGGGAAGAGTATTTGGTTTCAAATGAGTCAAATGAACAAAAACATTGCGAGATTCAGAAAGAAAATGCTTATATATGTCAGGTTGAAAATGTTGAAAGTGGTGGAAATGTAATGGAAGTATGTTTGGGCAATCAATGTGAACAAAATAATGAAAATAAAAATTCTGTAATTAATAATATTATGGAAGGGAAAAACTATAGTGACTATAGTGACTATAGTGACTATAGTGACTATAGTTTTCAGAATAATGTACAAGAAGAATGTAATATTTTTGAAAATAAGGATAAAAACAATGAACATTATGAACAAGATAAAGTAGAATACAATGAGTCAAAGGAAAGTGAAAATCTAATACATAATGATGAAAACAGTCTTGCATGTTCTTATGACATTCCTATTAACTCTAATTCCAGTTTGAGTGTAAATAACTATCGTCCTGACTCTCCGACATATAGCGAGGTATCTAAGGACCAGACGTGTGATATAGATGTAAGTATTATTAAATTTATAAATTTTTTTGATGTGAATAACAATTGTTAAACTTAACATGTTATTTAAGATACTTATGTTAAATGATTCCGTCATGTTTTTGATTTATAGAAGTCATTTTTTTTAAAGACAAATATAATTTTTCAGGGAGGTTTAGCTGGACATTTTGCTAGAGTTTCCTTAGGGGAAAAAACCGCTGATCAAAAAGCTTTAGAAGATTTTCTCAGACGTCAATCATGGGAACAAGGAAATATGGATTATTTAGGCAAAGACAGCTTTACTAATATATGGGCTAAAATCAATGAAACTCTAGGCAAAACACCTGAAGTTAAAATTGAACTCAATGTTGCAAGATCACAATCTCCACCGGAAGTTGTGCACACTGAAGAACCAAAACCATTAAAATCGGCTCTGAAGAAAACTTCAACAACTATTCCACCTATGGAATCTGAACTTATTGTTGATAGTAGTGAACCTCTTACTAAACAACTAGAAAAGCTTGATCTGTCTAAGGATATTTTACAACAGTCAAAAACACCTGATACTCCTACTGTAACTTCACCATCACCTCCAACAACACCCGCCTCGCAAATTCAAGAATCACCAAAATCAGAATCCTCAAAGCCTATAGATGAAAAACCAGAATATGATCCAAACACAGAAGAGCCTATAAAATCGTTGGAACAAGTATCACCGAAACCAGATCCCATAGAATCAAAAGAAACATTAACATCTGATGTGTTTATAGAAGATTCTTCAAAATCTGTAGAACAAGAATTATCATCAAAATCAGAATCTGTAGACCCTGTTAAAGAAAAACCAAAAATTGATGAGAGTGCTGAGATTGAACAAATTTTGCCTGTATTAGAATCATCTGAACCAAAGCCAGATGAATCAATTGAAAAAGTATCTTTACCAACTGAGACAATTCAAAAACTTCAATCTTCTGCTGATAATTCTACAACATTAGTTTCAAATGATCCGCCAATAGCGCCGAAACGTACTAACAAAGGATCACTGAACGTGTCTAAAAATGTTCAACCTGAGAAAAAATAAGAAGTAATATTATAATCAAATATATTTTATTATATACACGTTTTGTTTCGTTCCTCAGAATAATATATTATTATTGTTTTTCTTTTTTTATTAACAATATAGGCTAAACTAATACATGGATATTAAGTTCCAGAAATTATTTTTATACACTAATTTCTTGCACATTATAAATCAAATATTTTATTAAACCAATTCACGATATATTATCTATTAAGATTATCATAAAATTTTAATAGATAATGAAATTTCATTATTTTTAAATATTTGAATAATTTTTTTATGATTTGAATGTTTGGTTGCCTATACGTGTAATTTTCAAGGAAAACTCACATTTTATCTGAAATACATGTTTGCAAATATTGTTTTATGTATATAATATAATCACACTATGTTTTTATAGTATAAATAATGATTTTAATGATTCAAATAATTTATTATATTAGATATATAACCTTTTTTTTATAATCTAATATTGATCAAAAAATGTTATTATTTAATAAATCAATTTAAATAATTTAACAAAATATAGTTATAATAATAAAAATGATTTGTATTATTTTATTGTGGCCATTACTCTGATATAACAGGAACATTTTAATTCAAATTTTAAATGCGAACTGAACATTAGATTAAACAGATATTATTAATATAAATTATGTTTACCTTTAATCAGCTTAAATTTATAAATGTAATTTAGATTTAAAATATTTCTCATTTTATTGGTGTACATTTAGAGCAGACTTAAAAACTTAAAGTTAAAAACTATAATTATTTAAAGACTACTGATATGGTCAGTAAAGCGGATTCAAAAACATATGGTAATATACAAGTATAATTATTATTCAATATTTACTGCATATTTGTATGCTTCGCTTATAAATTATTTAGTCTAGCCCAAATGTTCAATGAGATATAAAATATACAAATTCACTGATAATTAATTACTTACACTACTAATATATATTTTATCACATTTATTTTCGTTACTATGATACAGGTTATACGTGTTATGAAAAGACTAAGGTACTAATGATTTTAATATTAGAGTTTAAATTATTTAATACCGGAACAAATTTGTGTCTCATTAAATATTTAGTAGACTTCAGCAGATATAGTTTAGCTAACATGTTATCTATACTTGCATTATTGTAAACTCGATTAATGTCTAGAAAATATAATTATATGAAATGTCCTAATAATAATAATTAGTTTTAATTAAAATTTGTTTAATTTGTAACTGTAGTTCATAGATTTGTACCTAATGATTTAACATGAATGATTCATTTTTCTTCAATTTTAATGATAATTACTAAAAATTAACCGTTGCTTTTCTAAGAGGGTTCAATATCTGCATTTACTGTCTGTCTAATATTTTATGTTAATATTATATTCTTATATAAATAATGTGTATAGCAACAGAGTAAAACAATTTATGTGCACTAAAAGTATTATAGTATGCAGCAAAAATAAAAATATTTTTAATAAAATATTAAAATTAATTTAACAATCATTTTTATATAAATTGAAAATAATATAGGCCCTTGGGGTACAACAAATTTAACATTACTATTTTGACCATTAATTTGCACTACTTGAGTCCTTTCAAACAGGTATGCCAGTTTAAAGAATTATTTTATCCTAATAAATTTTGTAATTTAATTATTAATGTGTTATGTGAAAATGAGTCAAAGGCTTTTGCAATGTCAATAAAAATAGTCGGAAATTTATCAAGTCAAGTGCACTATAAATGGAACTTGCAAGAAAAGTTTATACATCATTAGTATCCATATTTTTTCTGAAACCATATTGATCACAATTAACAACATTTTTTGAAGTTAAAAAATACTACAGCTGCTTTTTACTAAGTATCTAAAATATTTTACTAATATTTAATATTAAAGCTATAAGACGATAATTAGAAATATTAGTAGCATCATCTGCTTAAAAAACAGGGAAAACTACAGATTGTTTATATATTTTTGCATAAATTCCTATTTTAAAACTTAAATTAATTAGATATGAAAGAGATTTAATAGTAGGAGCAATTATTTTAAATAATTCAGAAGTTATCATATCGAAGCCGGGAGATTTATTATTTTCTAGTATTAAAATTGTTTTATGGACTTCAGTTTCTGAGAACTCTTTAAATATAATATCATTAGAATAGGAATTACAGTTTTTAAGTGTATTAAAATAATCATTATAGTTATCATTGTTAGAACATTTATTTTTAATGTATAGGGTTATATAAGCGCCAACCTCTAAGAAAAAATCATTAAAATATTAGCCCATAAGACTGGTTCCTTTATTAGATTGATTCTTTTATTTTTAAACTGCATTGAATTACTCAAAATGTTATTCTTTTTTTTCTATCAAAAATATTCTAATTTTGTTTAGTATTTTTATTATAAAGTTCTTAGATAGTCTAATTAATGTACATAATTTATTTTTATACATTATGAAATATTATAACTATATTAGAACCAGGAGGCGCTTTTATAGCTTTTAAACTTAATCCATCTGTTTTTCTAATAGAAACTAATAGGCCAGATGTAATCCAGGATTTAAATGTTTGTTTCTTTGCATAAGTAAAATAATGTTGAGTATTCAGCAATAGTATTATGAAAGTTATTTGCACAATTATCGATATTTACTTCATTGAACACATTACTCCAATCGGTAAAGGATAATTTATTTAAGCAGTGTATTCCAGTTAACTTTTTTAATATTACATATATTATCTACTTTAGTCTCATTATTTTGTACTGTTCATCCAACTACATAATGATCAGTTATACCGGAACAGTAAATAAAACTTATAATATTATTAATGCTATTAAGTATTAGAATTAATAAAAATGTTATCAAATACATGAAGTACTAATTTTCTGTTACTCTAGTGAAATTTGAGATACATTGATAAAAACCAAGTTCAGCCATACAATCGAGGTATTTAGATTTGTTAATATTGTTACTAGCATTAGAAATATCAATATTTATGTCTCCTAATATTATTAAATTGTTTGATTAATGTTAATTGTTAATGGTAATAATGTTAATTTTTGACACACATTGTTTAAAATTACTAATAAAATATTTAAAATTATTACTTGGACTTCGATATAAAGCAATAATTTCATATTTTATGTAATAATCTATTTTCAAATGTAAATAGTTGCATTTGTCAATAAAAATCTCTGTGAATTCATTAATTGGATATTTATTATATTAATAATAAATATCCACACTGGATAATTAAACACTGGAATAATTGTATATATTAATATACAATTATTCCAGTGTTTTAATTAAATAAATTATCATTTGTTTTAATTGCATTAAAATTTTCTATTTTGTAATTCATAGTATTACTGGAAAGCCAAGTTTGAGTTAAAACTATACAGTCTAACGAATTTATAGCTGTACCTACTCATCATTATTAGAAATGTAGAGAAATTTGTATTTACAGATTTTATATTTAGGTGTATTATGTAAAAACCTTTAGATTTTATGACATTGTGAAAATAAAATAAGTCTTTTATTATCGAATTATTAACATTTAAAAAGTTATCAAGGTAATCAAAGGTACCATCTAGTCTGCATCATGAAAAAAAAAAAAAAATACACAAGTAAATATTTGATATTGTAATAATTTAACAGAAATATAATTTAGTTCTCAAATACGAACTACCTAGGTACTCTGGATTGATCTTTTCATATCAAAATATTAGCTTCGTTTGTCCAGGTATATTTGAATGATTTTTTTTTTTTTTTTATGTGAACTCCTTTGGTTTGTATAACAAATATTTTCTAGGTTTCGTAAGATGTTCATTAATATATATTCTCATAGAATCAGATCAGCCTTTATTTATTTGGTTTGCAAAAAAAAAAAAAACAAGTTTTCTTACAGCTCGTGGTTTGATTTCATGGTTTTGTCTTCAAAGCAAAAAATTGTTTTTGAAAATGTATTATTTTTCACTGGTACTCTAAAAACTTTTTCAACTTGAATACTAACATTTAATTTATTGCCCATCTCTTGAACGATACCTACACAGTCTTCATTTTCAAAAGTTGATATTCTAGAAATCTATAATTTTTTTCAAACGATTTTTGCTCAAGGTCATAATTTTTTTATTTTAATTGATTTCCCTCTTTCGACAAGCTTTTATTGATATCAGCAACTCTCTTGTTTTCTTCTCTTGATTCCTTCATCTCATTTAATAATTTTATTACAGTATTATTAAGATGAAATTGACTGATTCAGCTAAACTAGCGTAACGTTTTGCTCATTAGTTGAGTTGAATTACCTGATTCAAGATCATTTTTACAGTCTGAGCAGACTAATTTAGATTTACCGTTTTTTTTTTTTAATTTTACCAAAAGTTGATTCACTGTAACCCAGACGGTAAAAATGGAACGATTTGTTACACACGGTACAGTTAAGGCAATCATCTTTTATTACATTTTCGGAATATCTTACCATAATCTATGTTATTTCGGTTACACAACGGTTATTTCATTAATTACGCGCTGTTACGGCAATAATACAGATAACATCAAAATTACTATACATGCGCGAAAACAAACATTTAAGTTACGGAGGTAACTATTAAATCGACCGAACAGCTCGACGATTAGCTGAATTTTTTACACGGCATATTGTTCCCACACTCTTAGTTATTACGAGCTACCGAGTCTGATCACCTAACCTACACCAACAATTAATTGTCGGTGTACGTCACAATTTGAGGTACCTATATCCAAAAATTTAAAACAGTTTTCGCGTAATCAAAAATGGTTCATAAGACATTGCAATGGGGAAAATTCGACTCCAGAGCTACTCGGGAAGTTCACGGATGTTTTTTTTTTTTTTATTTCTTTTGTTAATAACGAACTTCGGTTGTTTATATATGGTATAACCTATACCATAATATGATCGGTTTTCAGCGAAAATAGCTAACTCTCGACGGCCTCATCGAGTTTAAGGCGATTACAAAATCTACAACACCGACAAACTGAACAGGTATACCCGCAGGCCACAAACAACGAACCAATACCCGTTACTGTTAGTACCTTATGTACCCAAATAGCCCGTGACGGTTTAACTATAACATGCCGTCAGAACGTATCGCGTTATTATTGTTATTATAATAAAATTTTCGTTGACATTTTTTTAAATTCATATTTCGTTCCTGAATTTATCGTATCGGTTGTGCGGTCAGCGGTCGCGTACCTACCCGCCCGGCCGTCCGGCAATAAGCAGGATATGCCCGCATTGTTATCGCCGTCCTTATCTATTTACTTATTATTTGCGCCGGTGACAAAACAACAGGTTGTACCTACCTGCGCGGGTATTTTCAGTAAACAATATAATAGTATCTTTCGTAAAAAAAAAAAAAAAAACAACTAAAAACAATCTATTATTAGTGCACTCGTGTCATTGGGCAGCGATTTTCGTTTGATTTGTCGTCGCCATAAACTCACACAATGGTATTGTGCCGTTGCACGCGTCCTCGGCATCGGGTTTCCGCGAACCAGAAATTATAATATTACAACGCGGGCGCTCGCGTGCGCAGCGGTATTTATTTATTTTTCCGCTAGACTTCTGTAAAGGGGTTTTTGGGAATTTAGGAATTTAAAACGAAAGGCTATTCGCGTATTTTTATGCATCCCGCTTCCACGCAGCGGCGCGACTGATTCTCCTGCGAATCCTACGCAGTTGCACGTACACCGATTTGATACACAACTTCTCTAACACGGGTGTACAAGTGTGTATAAATAAGTGATGACGACTACGGCGAGGTCGCGGTTATAACTACAAGTCAGGTAGCTGCAAGTAAAAACAATAATGTTATAATAACATTACGTCATTGACTCAGCGGTCAATAATGGTAAAAACCAATTACAAACGTGTTCGTGTTTGGCTTTATGTTATCGGCGTGGTTTCACTATCAATAGAGATATCAGATGAATAACCAGATACGTCGTACGTACGTATTGTCGTTTATGTATGCCTATTACCTGATACCATAAAGCGGTTATTACTCTACGTTTGATACCTACTGTAAATTACGAGTTATCGGTCAGTTAAATGTTCCAATTCAATTATTAAATTTTAATAATTTTTGTAACTTATCAAGTTGTGAACTGTTTATAATTATCATTACGAGTTAAACATAAGTGAGAAAAGAAATAATCAAAGTAGGTATTTCATCGTTTCCCGAAAAAGAGAAAGACAAATCTGACGATTTGGAAATGCCTGCAAATGTAGATGACAATCCTGATGATCCAAAGTCTATACCTCTAGTTCGGCAAGCAACAGTGAGTATGAAATAATTAATAATTATAAATTATAACACAATTACACTAGTAATCGTATACCTATGAAGTTTACATTACTGCTTACACATTATGAAATTATGAAATATAATAGGTAATAATTATTGACATTTAGAATTATAATTAAAAAGTTAGATTAGACAATTTAAAATTATTATTAATATTTGGTATTGACATTTGATAGGATTAACATAGTTAAACAATTCAGAGATTCTACTCAAAAACCTAACTTAACCGTACCCCCTGCACTCCACCGAACACCATCCGAAATTGAATTTGTTTCAAATTCATAATCCCCCTGCATAAATCCGCAGTATTTGTAAAACCGAAACACAGTAATCGATTAAAATGAGTTATTGACAACAATGGCAACCGGCATTGCAAATCATCGTTGTGGGACAAATTTCACGCACGTCGCAAAATAATGTATGTGTCGAATAAATTATACAATTATATTATAATATTAAAATGTTCGCCATTTTTGTCGCTATCCATTATGTAGGCATTATTATTATTAACTGACTAAAAAAAAAAAAATACTGATATACAGGATGAGTCTTTTATTATGAACGACACAGACCAACAATGATTTTGAAGGATAAATTTGACGGTACTATACGTGGAGTATATTGGTATGGTTAAATGTTTCAGACATTAAATGAAACAGGTTCGGATAGAGTATGGGGCCGTTTAAGTATTTGTCTCGCTCTTGACACAAAATAATGATGACTTAGCTGAGATAAAGACGAGGTTTCTCTATCGGGGGATAAATGCTTTTTCGGATTAACTAAATGACTAAGGGCAAAACTGTTATTAAGAAATCTAAACATTCAGCTCTACCGCGCACTTAATCGACCAATGGTTCTTTACGGATATAAAACGTGGATATTATGCATATCCGACTTTTCCAGCAAAACAAAGTTCTTATTTTCAAAAAGAAAATATTGAGAAGAATCTATTTGGGTCTTGTCACGATGCAATTACAAGAAAATAGAAAAAATAAAACAAACTCAGACAGTTGTATGAAATGAATAAATGCCAGAAAAAATCGAAGAAGTAATAAAAAAGGCGACTGTAGTGGGCTAGTCGTGTGTGGAGCTCGTTTAGAAAATAAGGAGCTTTAATACGTCGGGTACAATGAAGCATTCCAAGATGAAAGAGACCTCTGAGTCGACCACTTATGAGATTGGAGGATAAAGTAAAGAGTGACGGGGAAATGTTGAAACCGGAAACCGATTTGGCGTGATTTGTCGATGACTGCAGGATGCAGTGGTAGGAAATAATATGTTGAACGGTTAGATATTAATGGTCGCAACAAAGAAGAAGAAGAAAACTCGAAATTAAAACGCCTATAAATAGTTCAAAAATGGCTTAAATGTTTTGAAAATTTGCCACGTCTAGAAAATGCAAATACGAGTCTCTTGTCTGAATTTCAAGTCCCCACGAACATTTCGAATTGAATTAAAACGAAAAAAAAACAAAATTGAAAATAATAAAACCATTATTTTCGTACCATTTTCCCGATTTCCTACGTTTTTTTTTCCCGATTATTATGCGAACTGCTTGGAAAAAAAAAACAACCACCTCCTTAATGCAGTACCAACCAGATAAAATTTCGTTTCAGAAAAGGCGTTACACTCGGTGGAAGATCGAAACAAGATTTTTGGTGGAAATTTCGTACACAGTAAAAGAAAAGAAAAAGGAAACATTGTAAAACTAATGAACATTCCCGGCTTCGCTCGTAATCTAAAAAATAAAAAGAAAAAAACCACCCCGAAATCAAATCCATCCTCGAAATAACCGGGT